AATCTTGTTTTCAAAGAATATTCACTAATATGAGAAAAATAAAACACATATGAACATGTATTAATTTACAATTAGCAGCCAGGCACAGTGGCTCCTGCCTGTAATCCTAGCACTCTGGGAGACCAAGGTGGGAGGATCGCTTGAGCTCAGGAGTTCGAGATCAGCCTGAGCAAGAGCGAGACCCCGTCTCTACTAAAAATACAAAAATTAGCCAGGCATGGTGGCTTGCGACTGTAGTCCCACCTACTTCGGGAGCTGAGGCAGGAAGATCACTTCCCAGGAGTTTGAGGTTGCTGTGAGCTAGGCTGACATCACAGCACTCTACTCAGGGCAATGAAATGAGATTCTGTCTCAAAAAAAAAAAAAATTTACAATTGGAGGAAAAAACCCTCCATTTATATAGTATCCCTAGGTTGGGCACAGTGGCTCATCTCTGTAATCCTAGCACATTGGGAGGCCAATGCAGGAGGATCTATTGAGGCCAGGAGTTTGAGACCACCCTGGGCAACATAGCGAGACCCTGTGTCTACAAAAAGTTTTTAAAAAAATTGCTGAGTGTGGTGGCATGCCCCTGTAGTCCCAGCTACTCAGGAGGCTGAGCCAGGAGGATTGCTTGAGCCCAGGAGTTTGAGGTTGCTGTGAGCTACGACTGTGCCACTGTACTCTCACCCAGGGGACAGAATGAGACCCTGTCTCTTTAAAGAAAAAAAAAAGTACTCCTTTAAAAAAAGTAAGCATGATTAAAAAAAACAACAACACAGAATAATGCATGGTAATGTAATGCAATGGTTAAACAGAATAGAAAACCCTCTAGTTCCTAAATGAACAATTTCCAAAAGAAGTCATTTTCTGATCATCTAAGAATGGCATTCCATTCTACAAAGTCCCAACTGAGGCTTCTAAGATGGTTATTTACATGACGCAAGAATGTTATCATTACAGAAAAATTTGTTGTAGCATGTCTTTAATTTTTTGAGACAGGGTCTCGCTTTGTTGCCTGTACTACAGTGCAGTGGTGTCATCATAGCTCACTGCAACCTCAAACTCCTGGACTCAAGCAATCCTTATACCCCAGCCTCCCGAGTAGCTGGGACTACAAATGGGCACCACCACACCTAGCTAATTTTTCTATTTTTGTAGAGATGGGGGTCTTGTTGATTGCTCAAGCTAGTCTCAAACTCTTGGCCTCAAGTGACCTTCCCACCTCAGCCTTGCGAAGTACAACACACCCAGCCTGTAGCATGTCTTAATAGCTCTCTTCTTTTTTTTTTTTTTTTGAGACAGAGTCTCACTTTGTTGCCCAAGCTAGAGTGAGTGCCGTGGCTCAGCCTAGCTCACAGCAACCTCAAACTCCTGGGCTCAGGCGATCCTCCTGCCTCAGCCTCCCGAGTAGCTGGGACTACAGGCATGTGCCACCAGCCAGCTAATTTTTCTATATATATTAGTTGGCCAATTAATTTCTTTCTATTTATAGTAGAGATGGGGTCTCGCTCTTGCTCAGGCTGGTTTCGAACTCCTGACCCTGAGCAATCCGCCCGCCTTGGCCTCCCAGAGAGCTAGGATTACAGGAGTGAGCCACTGCGCCCGGCCAAATAGCTCTCTTCTATGTGAGAAATGGCACCAAGTGGAATGACTGAGGAAGCTTTTGGGCTTCTTTAGATCCTGGGTGTAATTTCATTAGCTTAATTTTTTTAAAGACATCAAGTCAGATAGTGACTTTTTTCAAAGGTTGCATTCAAAGCATTTCCGCATCCAAAGTGTTTCCACAGAAGGATGTGGTTATAAAACCATTTCTGTCATTAAGAACACAGCTGAATGCTATACTTCCTTAAAAGTATGTCCCATTCATTTGGGAATTAGATTTTTCCCACCCCACTGGAGAGACAGCTTGTGGTAGTGGAAAGCATACTCATTTAAAGAACAGGTTATATCTCTTTGAGATCCTGATTTCACTTATTTTGGATATACCACTCAGAAGTGGAATTGCTGGATCATATGGTAGTTATATTTTTAATTTTTTGAGGAACCTTTATACAGTTTTCCATCATGGCTGCACCATTTAACATTCCCACCAACAGTGTACAAGGGTTCTAACTTCTCCATACCTTGCCAATTTTTTTTCTTAACAATAGCCATCCTAGTAGGTGTGAGGCGATGCCTTATTGTGGTTTTGATTTGCATTTCTCTGGTGATCAGTGATATTGAGACTCTTTTCATATATCTGTTGGCCATTTGAATGTCTTCTTTGGAGAAATGTCTACTCAAGCCCTTTGCCCATTTTATAATTAGGTTTTTTTACTATTGAGTTGTAGGAGTTTCTTACATACAAGTGGGTACAAGTGCATTGTTAGATATATGGTTTGCAAATATTTCCCCCCATTTTGTAGGTTGCCTTTTCATTCTGATTATTTCCTTTACTGTGTAGAAGCTTTTTAGTTCGATGTAGTCTCACTTGTTTATTTTGCTTTTGTTATTTGTGCTTTTGGTATCATATTTAAAAAAATCATTGCTTTTCCCCCATGTTTTCTTCGAGGAGTTTTATAGTTTAACATCTATGTTTAAGTCTTTAATTCACAGGTATATAGCCAAAAGGATGAAGTCAGGATCTCAAGGAGATATCTACACCTCCATGTTCACTAAAGCATTATTAACAAGGGCCAAGATATGGATACAACCCACATGTCTACCCACAGATGAATGAGTAAAGACAATGTGGTATATTCATATAATGGAACACTATTAAGCCTTATAAAAGGGGAAAATCTTGCTATTTGCAATGGCACGGATGAACTTGAAGGACATTATACTACATGAAATAAGCCAGTTACAGAAGGACAAATATTGCATGATTCCACTTATATGAGATATCTAAAATTGTCAAACTCACAGAAGCAGAGAGTAGAATGGTGGTTTCTGGGGGCTTGGGGGGGGAGTAAATGGGGAGTTGTTGTTCAATAGGTATAAAGTTTCAGTATGCAAGATGAGTAAGTTCTGGACATTTGCTGGACAACACAGTGCCTATAGTAACAATACTGCATTATACACTTAAAATGTGTCAAGAGGGTAAATATCACATTAAGTGTTTTTTGTTTGTTCATTTGATTGTTGGGTTTTTGTGTTTTTTAGAGACAAGATCTTGCTCTGTTGCCCAGGCTGGAGCGCAATGGCATGATCATAGCTTACTGCAGCTTCGAACTCCTGGGCTCCAGCAATTCTCCTGCCTCAGCCTCCCAGGTAGGTGGGACTGCAGGTGCATGCCGCCATGCCTAGCTAATTTTTCTTATTTTTTGTAAGGACAGGGTCTCACTATTGCCCAGGCTGGTCTCGAACTCCTGGCCTCAAGCGATCCTCCCACCTCGGCCTCCCTAGGATTATAGGCTTGAGCCACAGCACCCAGTCTTAAGTGTTCTTCTAACAATAAAAACAACCCTCCCCTCCCCTCAAAACCAAAGAGGCACAAAGACATCCAAACTCATCAAATTGTATATATTAAATATGTACAGCTTTTGTATATCAATTATACTTCAATAAAGCTAGTTAAAACCAAACAAAATGAGCAGGCAGATTTGTTTTGGTGCCACCAGCTCTCTCATTAGCTGTGTGATCCTGGGCAAGTCACTCGCTCTTTATGAGTAACCAGTTTTATCATTTCCAAAGTAAGAAACGGGTGTATACCATCCCCGAGTGCCTTTCACAATGGAAGACTATGACGTGGGGACTTGCTGAAAGGCAGGCCTTTCATGGGGTAGATCTCAGCAGAGCAGGAGTGGACCAGAGATCAGAGAGATGGGAAACTCTGTATTTGCAGCATTTATGATGCACCTACCAGTTGCAGGATGGCCACAGAGCCAGGAATGGGACTCCTGATGGGGACTCCTCATACCCCTGGGCAGCATGTCAGGAGGCAGGAGAGGGTAACAGAGGACCACAGGAATTTAAAGAGAGATGAGGTCAGCATGTTGTCTCATACCTGTAATTCTAGCACTCTGGTAGGCCAGGGTGGGAGGACTGCTTGAGCTCAGGAGTTTGAGACCAGCCTGAGCAAGAACAAGACCCTGTGTCTACTAAAAATAGAGAAATTAGTTGGGTGTGGTGGTGTGTGCCTGTAGTCCCAGCTACTCGGGAGGCTGAGGCAGGAGGATCACTTGAGTCCAGGAGTTTAAGGTTTCAGTGAGCTGTGATGATGCCACTACACTCTAGCTGGGGTGACAGAATGAGAATGAATGAATGAATAAACAAACAAACAAATAAATAGAGATGGCCCAGAGACGCTAAGCCCGAGGCTGGGCTGAGCAATTAGAGCTGAGCCTCCTCTCAGGCTGGATGGTAGCAACGCCTCTCTGACCTACTGGGGACCCACCTGTCCCAGGGACAGCCTCACTGTTGCCTAGGTGACTCTGGGAAATGTCTTCCATGTACGCCTCCCGCTGACACTGGCCTTTTCACCGGGCTCTGCTCTTAGTTCCCAATTTAGATTTGGTCCTGGACTTGGGATTATGACACCCCTGGGGACAGCACCCCCTATGCTGCGTGTGTGATGCCGAGGACTGTGCCCCACCTGAGTTTCAGACTCAGGGGATTCCCTGTCCTCCAACACATATGGCTCCCTGCGCTCACTTTACAACGATCCCCGGCAGGGCGGGGGCGGGGTGGGAATGCAGTGGAAAAAGAAAATGAAAACGGCAAGGGCTCAGAAGTGCAGAGAGGGTTTGAAGCAACACTGGTATTCTGGAAGGCACCTGAAGTAGCCAATATTTAATTCAAAAGCCGAACAGAAAAGGATTGACTAACATGCAGTATGATCCTGTAGCATCGGGTGTCTGGGCTCAGAAGGGAGGGGGGCTTCGTCAATCACACCCCACCCAGCACAGAAGCCATCACTCAGTTTGAGCTGGGCTGCTGGGTGAACTGTGGGTGAGGGGGAAGATAGCTCATTCGTCAGGTTTTCCCATCCAAACCCAAACTGAACAACAAAACTGCAAAAACACTTCCATACTTACTGGCATGGTTTTGTCTCCAAAGAAATAAATGGTCTTATAACCATCATTTTCCACGTGTCTCAGGCAATACCTCTTGTCCCATCCGTCAGGAAAGACATCAAAGCTGATCTGGCCTCCTGCCGGGTGGGGGGGGCACATAAAAGCTAAAGGTGAAGAAGAGGCTAATGACATGTCATTGAAAGAAATTTTTAATTTACTCTTTTGTCAGCAACTGGACTGCCAGGGCTGATTTTTAACAACGTGGTTTGCTATTATACTACATTACAAACAGGTTCTAGAAATTAATTCTACCTCATGTTTTTTTCCAACATTATTTCATCTGGGTCTAAAAATCAGACATTAGAATGCCAATTCAGGATGAAAAGTGTATTTGCATTTGAGTGCTCTGTCAAGCAAGTGGTTTAAATGAAGCATGCTTATGAAAAATCTGATAATGGCTTCATTCTGTCGCATTTGTCTTGAGCTTTAACACACCCTCAGTGGAAAATGCCTGGAAGCAGGCTACATCCAGCTTCTCTTGCAGGAAAAATAAAAACCACATTGAAGGTGATTTACAGGCAGCTTTCATGGGCAACAAAAACCCTCTGAAGCTTTGTCAGGAAGATGTCCATCTCACGGTTCAGGAATACTTAAAACTCCGCCCGTTCATCTGTTATACATGATTCCTTTGCAATTCTTCTTTTCCTACAACCTGTACCTTAATTTAAGCTAGCAAAACGAGACAGCTTTGAGCAATGACTCATCAGCATTGACAAGAGAAATCAGTTTGCAAAGAACTTGACAGGAATATTCTACCAAGAGACAAGTCAGAGAACATCTATGCTGCACGAAGAACTCTTCATGAGACACCAGAAACATTCATACACTGGCTGTCACAATAAATAAAAGCTTTGTTGGCCGGGCACAGTGGCTCACACCTGTAATCCTAGCACTCTGGGAGGCCGAGGCAGGCGGACTGCTCGAGGTCAGGAGTTCGAAACCACCCTGAGCAAGAGCGAGACCCCGTCTCCACTGTAAATAGAAAGACATTAATTGGCCAACTAATATATATAGAAAAAATTAGCCAGGGCATGGTGGCGCATGCCTGTAGTCCCAGCTACTCAGGAGGCTGAGGCAGAAGGATTGCTTGAGCACAGGACTTTGAGGTTGCTGTGAGCTAGGCTGATGCCATGGCACTCACTCTAGCCTGGGCAACAAAGCAAGACTCTGTCTCCAAAAAAAGAGCTTTGTAACTTGAGCAAATCTCTTCTCCTTTCTGGGCCTCAGTTTCTTTTTTTTTTTTTTTGAGAAAGTGTCTCACTCTGTCATCCCGGCTAGAGTGCATTGGTGTCATTGTAGCTCACTGCAGCAGCCTCAAACTCCCAAGCTCAAGTGATTCTACTGCCTTAGCCTCCAGAGTAGCTGGGACTACAGGCACACACCACCATGACCGGCTAATTTTTCTATTTTTAGTAGAGACGAGGTCTCGCTCTTGCGCAGGCTGGTCTCAAACTCCTGAGCTGAAGCATCCTCCCATCTCAGACTCTCACAGTGCTAGGATTACAGGTGTGAGCCACAGCACATGGCTGGCCGTGGTTTCTTGACCTGTGAAAGCAACCAACTGACTCCTAAGGTTCCTTGCCATTGAAATATGATTCCAAAACATAATCAGTCTAGTTTATCTAAGAGGTTCACATTCCATCTCTCTCTTATGGAGTCCACTATGGTGTTTCTCTTTCGTCCAAAGGTGTGAGGGTAAGTTCTTATTCTTCATTAATCAAAGTGCTTCTCTTTTGAGTAGAAGTGCAGGTAGGAAGAATCCTGCTAAGAATTTTAGAACAAAGCCAATAGTCTGGAAGCTACTTCCTGACAGGGCACGTCCTGCTATGGCTGATTATGCAGAAGAGAGAGTGGCTGCATTTCCTCTACTGATCAGACTATTTAACCCTCTGCCCACCTTAAAATGAGGCGCAGTCCAATCTCAACAGCTCATTGGCCTATAACAAACTCTTTGTAAATGGGTACCAAAGTCTGGAATACATTTAAATATACAATACCTATGGAAAACGTGAGGCCTTTTCCTGCAAACTCTTTCCGTAGATCCGCTACAAATTTTTGTCTTATATTTTCTTTCTGAGAAAGACAGAGATACTCATTGTGTATTGTATTGCAATTTAGAAAAGATGCTTCAACTACTGGCCACAAAGTAGCATGTCTTATCTTACTTTCATAAACCCAGTCATTCAGCAAGGATATTTCAGAAAGACTCACTTTATCGAGTTCGTAGAACTCAATGCGTTCTTCTTGGCTGCAGCTCCTTCCAATAGGGGACACGTTTAACATCCCATTTCGGAATTCAATGAAAGTACCCCTGGGGAGAAGAGGGCGACAGAGGGTGCCCAAAACACATCATTTATTTGGATGACATTATAGATAGATAAACAATCTCAAAGGTTGGGAAATTCTAAAAAGCAGAGCCTGATGTGATCAATGTTTCTCAGAACTGTGCTGTGCAACACAACAGCCATGAACTACGTGACTATTGTGGCTACCATACTGCACAGCACAATCTAGAAATGCCACGAATCCACATTGAGATTAGATTTGAAAGACTTAAGATGAAAAAGGAATGTGGTCATCAGTAACGTTCCATATTGACTTTTTGTTAAAATGGTTATATTTTGGGCTGGACATGGTGGCTCATGCCTGTAATCCTAGCACTCTGGAAGGCCGAGGTGGGAGGATTGTTTTAGCTCAGGAGTTTGAGACCAGGCTGAGCAAGAGCGAGACCCATCCTCTACTAAAAAAAAAATAGAAAGAAATTAGCTGGACAACTAAAAAATATATATATAAAAATTAGCTGGGTACGGTGGCACATGCCTGTAGTCCCAGCTACTCGGGAGGCTGAGCAGGAGGATCGCTTGACAGGAGTTTGAGGTTGCTGAGAGCTAGGCTGATGCCACAGCCACTCTAGCCTGGCAACAGAGTAAGACTCTGTCTCAAAAAAAAAAAAAAAAAAAGGACAGTGCTGCTGTAGGGCAGAGAATTCTAACGTTAATATAAGAACTATGAAAATGACTTCTAACACTACAAGAGCAGTAAGTTCCCCAAGGAGTTTCAAAATATATGCGGGAGACACCTATTTTGCTAGTGAAGTTTTGAACAGACTGATTGTACAAGCAAAGCTACACAGAGAAAGGTTCTGAGAATTGTCCAATGAGCCTCAGTAATAACTGAGGAAATTTAATTTAACCAGTGGCAGACTGCTCCTACAGGTTTGATTTGATCACAGAAGAGGAGAACAGCCTAACATTATTTTAGTTACTTTGAATGAAAATGTTTAAAAGCTGTTTTTTCCCCACGTTTCCAGTTTGAATCTCAAAATGGTTTCTTAAAGACTGAGATAACTTGTAAGCTACACAATCATTCTGGCAGATGAAATGTAAGCATTTTGTGATAACTTATGCAGTGTAAAGTATCTTCCAGCTCTAAGCATTGATGCCTGGGAACTCTACAAAAACATTTTCCCTGGTCTCTTTCTGCTATTTTAATCACTCAGCCTGATCTCCACTGTAAATACTGGGAGGCCACATGCCAAGTGCAGGGCTGAGGACCTGATTCAAGGCCAACGCGGCCTCTCACTAGGCTGCTTGGCTCTGGGCATAGCTCCAACCCTGTTTATTCACCGACAGAAGAAAGGCGAATGGCACTTGCTCTGGTTACCTCTGAAGGGCTTTGTGAAAATGAAATGTACCAGTTTATGTAAAGGCACTTTGTAAACCAGGAGGCAATAAATACTCATCAAGTAAGGTAAAAACAATAAAATCCCAATCAGCTGTATCCTTTCCCCTGCTGTGCTCAACTTGTAGGGAAGGAAGCAAATGATTTAACAAAATATGCACGCCTATAAAAAAAACTTTCAAAAATCCCATGTCCAGGTTGTCCTCGAGTTGGCAGAGACCCAGCCCTGTCCTACATGTGAGGTGACCATACCCAGGGTGACCCTAGGGTTACGGGTCAGAAACAGAGCTCATTCCCAAGGCATGGGGGGAAGCTAATGCATTAGAAAACTTCTCAAAAATAAGGATTAGGGTGGTTTATCAGTTCCTCCCTGAAGACTTGGGCTCTGAGGTCTGACTGCACCTGCCTGACCTGTGTGGGGCGTGTGGTTAGTACTGACGTAAATGTGGACAGCGCTGCTCAAGGCTGGTCTCAGTTCTGCCTTCCAGACTCGCTGGGTATCTTATACTATTCTGAAATTAGAGCTCTGCACGGCCCTCTCCCTCACTAGAGGATAAACTCTTTGAGGACAGGATTATGCCTTGTCTTTTTTTTTTTTTTTTTAACAGATATCTGAGCGATGCTTTTTCTTTTTTTGAGATAGGGTCTCACCCTGTCACCTGGGTACAGTGCAGTGGTGCCATCATAGCTCAAGGCAACCTCACGCTCCTGGGCTCAAGTGATCCTCCTGCCTCAGCCTCCTGAGTAGCTGGGACTACAGGCATGCACCCCCATGTCTAGATAATTTTTCTGTTTTTTTTTTTTTGGTAGAGAGGGGGGTCTCACTCAGGCTGGTCTCAAACTCCTGGCCCCAGCGATCCTCCCACCTCAGCTTCCAAAAGTGCTGGGATCGTAGGCTTGCGCCACCGCGCCCGGCCTCTTATCCTCCCTTAATGTTTACTCCAGAGACGGAATGGACCTGGGATGTATGTATATTTTAACTTTATACTGAGAGAATTTCTAACATACACGAAGGTAAACAGAACAGGATAAGGACCCCTCACGCGCCCATCACCCATCTGCAACAACGGCCAGCTCTGGGTCCAACCGGCCCACCCAGGCCTCTCCTGGGCACAGGGACGCTCCTGCGCTCTGACCGCAGGTGCTGAGCAGGAGGCGCTGGTTTTATGGGCACTGACAGTCGAAGCAGCCTCTGAAGTGCCTCATGCCCTGAAATTCAACTGCCACTTAAAAGACGTTTCTCACCCTGGTGATTAAGGTGTTACATAAGTGTTGAAAACTGGGGGGGAAAATGAGAAGTATTTTAAAGAAATCAGCTGTAACCTCACAAAATCAAAATATAGCCACGGGGCCGGGCGCAGTGGCTCACGCCTGTAATCCTAGCTCTCTGGTGAGGGCGAGGCAGGCGGATTGCTCGAGGTCAGGAGTTCAAAACCAGCCTGAGCAAGAGCGAGACTCCCGTCTCTACTATAAACAAAAAGAAATTAATTGGCCAACTAAGATATATATAGAAAAAATTAGCCGGCATGTGGTTGCATGCCTGTAGTCTCAGCTACTTGGGAGGCTGAGGCAGGAGGATCGCTTGAGCCCAGGAGTTTGAGGTTGCTGTGAGCTAGGCTACGCCACGGCACTCACTCTAGCCTGGGCAACAGAGTGAGACTCTGTCTCAAAAAAAAAAAAAAAAAAAAACAGCCACGGTTAGCATTTGGGTCCATTTCCTGCCAATCTTTTTACTGTGGGCATTATGTACATTATTATTATTATTTAAATAGGAATTGAGATAGCAAAAGTACCCAGAGCAGGAGGTAGCTTCCCAAATCAAATACATACAGAGGTCAGACGATGAGACGAGCAGCTGTGAAAAGCTGCAACACATGGGAACCCACAGTAGCCAGGTCTTCAGATTTGCCAACAAAAGCCAGAAGTCCAGATGTTTTAAAATGTAAAATTGTACTTTCAAACGATGGCAATTAATTCGGATTTCATTTAACAATGCAGGCCAACCAGATTTGGCTTTGCGTGGATGTGGCCGGGGCTCCCGTTTTGGGCTTTCCGGTTTTGGGTTTTTTTGGCTTTTTTCACGTGCTGTTCCGGGCCGTCCCTCTCGCTGACAGCCTCGGAAGGCTGACAGTTTCCAGTGGCTGTATACTCTTCCGTCCTGGGGACATGCCACCATTTATGCGATCACTCTTATACCGCTGGCTTTACAGACTATTTTCAATTATTCTCTACCGAATGCTGGGCTTTAGACTTAACTTAGCTGGCCCTTGAAGGCTACCAAACCTTGCAGTGAACCAGTACCCCCAGGGCAGTAGGTGAAAATGTGGATTTCCAAGCTTTGCTCTCAGGCTTTCTGAATCAGAATAGTCAGGGGACAGGCTAAAGATCAGTATTTTTTTTAAAGTTCTTTAGGTGACTCTCATACAGCCTAGAGCACAGTGGCATGATCACAGCTCACTGCAACCTCGAACTCCTGGGCTCAAGTGATCCTCCCACCTCAGACTCCTGAGTATCGGGGAATATATGTACCACCATGCTCAGCAAAATCTTTTTTTGTAGAGATAGGGTCTTGCTATGTTGTCCACTGTGATCTCAAAATCCTGGCCTCAAGTGATCCTCCTGACCTGGCCTCCCAAAGTGCTGGGACTACAGGCATGAGTCACCATGCCTGGCCTAGGTGATTCTTATAATCAGTCAGATTTGGAGACTACCCACATGAACCCACCAAATGACATTACTCCATATTCCAGCAAAGCTTCTTGCTAAAAGCAAACTCACCTCTTCTTCGGGAGTTTAATTTTTGCAATGTAGCTGAGACAGTAGTTGATTAAATCTTGGATTAAGGCCTCACCCAGGTGACCTTGAATATTCTAGATAAAGAAAATACGGGAGTTATGTGATTCAGCAGGAGGCATTTTCAGCTTTACAGCAAGCCCAGATTGTTCGGAAGTCACTAGGCTGATGTAGCAGTGACGGTGACATGCCCCACTGTTTTAATTCTTTCTCTTTTTTTCTCTGGTTGAAAACATTAGGCAAACCAGAAAGGCTTCAGTCAAAAGCATTTTCTGCTTCATTAATCAAGATTTTTGTATTCATTATTTTTGAAACGCTTTCTGGAAGGCCCAAAGATTTTATTGCTGCTGCTTTTATTCAATTAAAATATCTACGGGCACTGACAGAAAATATATTTGTTCCACTTCAGCTTTCTCTCATGTGTGAACAGAATGATCTTACTAAGAGCTAAATACTACCTTTTAAAAATGCTTATAGTGAGGCAGCCTGTCCTAGTTTGTGTTATAATAGAAACATTAGATTTAAATATCCTTAAAAATTATGAAAATTTAGTTATTGATTTGGAATATGTAATGGTGACATAGTTCAAAGTTCAAACCTGAAGAACCTACCTGTTTACACATGAGTTTCCCATTCTTGTATGCTACCAAGCCATTTTCTGGAAACACGTAATCATATTTTTCAACCACTACAATTAAAACAAAAGAAGACTCAGAATGCAATGAATCAAAACCTAACACTTTTTTTTTTTTTTTTTGTCACGAACAGTTCATTGCTATGTATAACAACTGTCTCACAGCTCCTGCTCAAGCAATGCTCACATAAGCACCAATCTGATACAGTAGACAGAGAGCCGCCTCGAATCTATATACCACAATAAACTGCTAAACTTCGGTAAGGACTGTGAAAGACTATCTCATCTTAACGACAGGGAGAGGAGAAAAATCTCATAATTTTTTTTTTTAAAAGGCTCTTTTTAAAATAGATGCACGAGGGGTTAGCATGATACTCAGTGAGGGTATCTTCGTCTCTGCGCTTCAGCCTAACCAGTCGATAAGAGCGACGCAAGCCTGGACGGATTCCCAAACCCCACTGTGAACCAGCAGCAACAGCAGGGCAGTGACTGCAAATCTAGATTTCCAAGCTCTGCTCTTAGGATTGCTGAATCAGAATCACCAGGGACGGGCTAAAAACCAGATTTGTTTTCTTTAAAAAAAAGTTCTACAGGTGATTCATATAACCAATCACTCAAATTTGGAGACAACCCACATAAACCTTAATGAAGGGATCCTCAAACTTTAGGCAATTGTTAAAATGCAGATACCCCTATGTGCTGGGTAAGGCCCCATCTGTTTTTAATAAGCCCCCCCTACCCCAACCCCCCGGGATGATTCTGACACAGGTGGGCCTTCAGCTTTCTTTTAGCCTGTGAATGTTTTGATACTGTTGTTGCATATTCTCTGGAACGTACAGACTATGCTACTCTGACAAAAACCTTCTCTGTGTATGTGGTTAAATATATGACTAAAGGCGGAAAGGCCAATCATGGCCAGGTAATAGGATTTCTGGGGCTTAATGTGCCCCATTATGTTGTTTATAGTGTTTCTAAGAGGAACACTTACAAGGAAAATTAAATGTAAGTGGAACAGAGAATTTCAAAAGGATTACATAAATTACTCTTTCAGTAATCGTGATCCAATAAATACAGTCTACACAGATTTGTACTGTAAGATATTACATCTAGAACAGTAGTTCTCAAATGGGGTGATTTTATTCCCAGAGGACACGTGGCAATGTCTGGAGACATTTCTGGTTGTCACCACTGTGTGTGTGTGAGTACACTGCTGGCACCTAGTGGATAAAGGTAAAGGATGGTGCTAAATGCCCTACAATGCCCAGGACAGCCCCATAACAGAATTATCTGGTCCAAAATGTCAGTGGCAGAGAGGCTGAGAAATCTTGTTCTAGAGGAGCTGGTTCCAAGATGTGAAGACTCTTGGGGCAACGGGGGTTGAAAGATCAATTCATTCATCTCCCCACCTACTTTTTCTTATAGGCCGGGCAGCCCAGAGGCCCTGGGCCTATGGAGATGAATAACCCTTGTCCTGGTCTTCAAGACAAACATATAACCAGACAGTTTTCAACAATTAGAGAGTGCCACATCAGTAGGGTCGTGTACTAGAATCTCTTGGGGGTGCTTGCTAAATTTCGATTCCCAGGTCCCGTAGACCTATCAAATCAGAACCTCCAGTAGGGTCAGTAAGACATCCCAGCTTCCCAGGGTCCTGTGCTGGAGACTGGTTCAGTATGGGGGAGGTGCCTGGGTGAGTCATGATTAGGGAACGCTGGGAAACGCCATGTTAAGGCAACAGGAAGAAGGCACTTAGACCCAGAGGGCACCTCCCCTCCTGGTTGAGAAGGACATCAGGACGTGCAGCCTGAGCTGAGGCTTGAAGGGCAGTGAATGGGGACAAGAAGTGTTCCAGGCAGAGAGATTACCATAAGTAAAGACATGGACACTCCCCTTTCTGGGTAAATCTACCCACACATCTGAGTACCAAGTGCTCTATCAGCAACTCCAGAAATTTACAGGATTAAAAGCAGAGGAATGAATTGGGAACGAACATATGTGGGATTAAAAAAAAAAAAAAAAAAGGCAGAGGAAAAATAAAGGCAGAGAAAATGTTTCCCCAAAGACAAAAACAGAAAGAATGGAAGTTTCAGGGCTGCCTATGCTACCTGGCTACAGGCCCCAATATTCTCGTAAGAAGTTAATCTTTTACCAAAATGTAATTAGCAACATATCATTTACCGTCATTTCCCAGCTGCTCCTGTACTTTCTCAAAGTCTGACCCGCCTACCACTCCGATTTTGATCTTCTGCCTCAAGTTTTGTAGAAAGCCATCCATTTCCTTGGTAATTTTCTACATTTCAAGAAGGAAAATACAACAGTCATGAGCCACAAAATAATCAGGAGACTAAAACTTCAAGAGTAATGCCAGCCTTATTTTTCTACACACCAATTCAGTTACTAGGTCTGTAGATAAGTTCAAATTTTCAGTCGTAATTTTTGGCCATCAACTTTCTGCTAGAATAAACTTCTTAAATGTCACTAATTTTTACCAATTTTAAATATTCAAGTAATATATTAACAGCCTTGTGTGTTGTTCCGACTATTTTTCTACGAAGTTCTGTCTATATGCACAATACTAACAGGTCTTATTTTTGAAACGTAAATGGGATCATTCTATGTCCTGTGCAGTAACTTGCTTTTTCAGCACTATATGTGGTGATCTTTTCATGCCAACACAAAAATCTAGCTCATTTCTTTTAAATGCTACACTGTATTCCATTTGTGGATTTAAGTTGTTGACTGTGAAACAAAATAACAAGATTAATGAGGAAATTCAGAACTGATTATAATTATATAAAAAATGCATAAGACTAGCCTGAGCAACATAGCCAGACCCATCTCTACAGATAATTTAAAAATTAGCTATATGTGGTGGCACCTGCCTGTAGTCCCAGCTACGCAGGAGGCTGAGCCAGGAGGATTGCTTGAGCCCAGGAGTTTGAGGTTGCAGTGAGCTATGACTCTGCCACTGTATTCTAGCCCGGGCAACAGATTGAGACCCTGTCTCAAAAAAAAAAAAAAAAAAAAAAAAAAGAAAAGAAAAAGAAAAAAGCATAAGAGTAAGATGACTAGATTTTTTTAGTCTCTCCTGAAAGAAAAGCTCCTATCTATAAGCAGTTGTCTTAATGTTATAATTTTAGGCTAGTTAAATCCCAAACTGTGTGATAATTTTTAAAAAGTTATAAACTAAGATGCAAAGATATCTCTATATTAAGACAAATCGCAATGAATTTTTAAGTCTTAATTCAGTATTTCGAGCAGTCTTTTTTTTTCTTGGAGTCAGAGTCTGGCTCTGTTGCCCTGGGTAGAGAGTGGTATCATGATAGCTCACTGCAACCTCAAACTCCTGGGCTCAAGCAAGCCTCCTGCCTTAGCCTTTCAAGTAGCTGGGACTACAGGCATGTGCCACCATGCCCAGCCAATTAAGCAATCTTTTTTTTTTTTTTTAAAAACTCCATTCACCATCATTCCCAAGAGCAATCTTAATTGTCCTTTTTTATTGAATATCTTTACCAAAAAAGTTATTAGAAATTTAAAAAACCCACTTGATTCAATCTCAGTATATAAACCTCAGCATATAAACATCTGGGGTTCAATCTTTTTTCTTTAAAATAATTTTTTAAGAGTAATACATGCATATGATTACAATAAAATTGTACAGAAGAGCAACATTTTCTATCTTTTATAATCCTCGACCTATTAGACAAAATCTAGAATTGCGCTAATGGCCTCTAAGAGTCAGTGAGAACTGTGAAAAGCGGTCCCAGAGTCCCCAAATGGTTTGTTCAGACTTAACATCAGAATGGGAGGAAGTGAGGAAGACACGTTTGATGACAAATAAAAATGCAATACTAAAAACAAGAGCAGCGATACACCCTTAGGCTTGAAACACAAGCCTAAGGGTACACTTTATTTTTTCATTATTAAAAAAATTTTTTCTTCTTGCTATCTTGCCCAGGCTGTATCAGAATCCCTGTGTTCCCTGAGTTCAAGTGAACCTCCTGCCTAAGCCTCCCAAGTAGCTATGACTACAGATGTGTGCCTCCTTGCCCAGCTAACTAACAATTTATTATATCTTAACCCTTGTACATGTTGGTGAGCTAAATGGTATTGTGGTCAGACATCATGACATGTTCTTCAATATGAATGGGTTGCAGAAGGCAAATTTTTGCTTCTATGTGGAAGCAAATATTATTTGACAGGAAATAAGACCCAGATGCTGCAACCACAAAAGAATATCTGAACTACAGCCCACTACAGTGGAAATCTTTACAGCAAAACAACTGCATACCAAAATTGTTTTGATGTTCCCAAATAACTGTTGTGCTGATAATTACCAAGAATCCTTTATAAAGCACTCCAGACAAAATAAATCCCAGAGAAAGATCCAAAAGCTTGAAATTAAGGTGGAAAAAGTTAAAAATACACCTTCTGGAAAAAAAAAGCCAATTATAAATGACATTTTTGGGGGACCATTAAGGAAATTTTAGTATGGACTAAAGGAGGAGTCAGCAAACTAGGGGCTAGGGGCCATAATCAGGGCTGCTGCCTGTTTCTGTAAAGTATTATTGGGACACAGCCACGTCCATTCGTGTATATGGTGTCCATGGATGCTTTAATTCTATGACAACAGAGTTGAGTTGTTGTGACTAAGACTCCATGACCTGCGAAGCCTCAAATATTTACTATCTGGCCTTTTACAGAAAGAAGTCTGCTGACCCCTGGGCTATGGATGGTATGAAAAATTAGGGAACTCGTGATAATTTTTTTAGGTGTAATGATACTGTGGTTACAAAGGAGGATGTCTTTGCTCTTAAGAGAGGCAGTTTAAAATTTACAGAAGTGAAGTACTGTGATGACTGCAGCATAGGAAGTTGTTCGCTAAAAGAAAAAAATGTCAGCATCAAGTTAGTATGTCAACATGTCAACCATTTTTGAATCTAAGTGGAGGGGACGTGGTGTTCTGTGTTTGGAATTTTTCATGATACAAAGTTGGAAAACAATTCACCTACATTTGTGCCCCTCTCTTTTTATAGGCTTTTATTCTAAGTCCCAACTGTTTTTAGGTAGAATGGCATTTTTAGGAAAGGACTCAGCACAATAAACTTCTACTAAAACAGTGAAATGTCTTTGTGATGGAAAGAATTAAGAAAAAGCAAAATGCACAAATCTCTGGAATCCAATCTAATCAGATTTTATTTGTTTAGGTCATATCACTTCAGCAACTGCAAGAAAAGATAACCCATTCTGCTTCCAGACTGTATTGTGCTTATCAGTGTTTTAGATATTGAGGAAGGTAAAGGCAGTATAATGAATAGATCTGTTGCTAAAATATTTTTCATTTTTCACCTAGAGTACCCAGCATACAGAAACAATTCCTTTTTTTTTTTTTTTTGAGACAGAGTCTCGCTTTGTTGCCCAGGCAAGAGTGAGTGCCGTGGTGTTAGCCTAGCTCACAGCAACCTCAAACTCCTGGGGTCAAGCAATCCTGCTGCCTCAGCCTCCTGAGTGGCTTGGACTACAGGCATGTGCCACCATGCCCGGCTAATTTTTTCTATATATATTAGTTGGCCAATTAATTTCTTTCTATTTTTAGTAGAGACGGGGTCTCGCCCTTGCTCAGGCTGGTTTCGAACTCCTGACCTCAAGTGATCCTCCTGCCTCAGCCTCCCAGAGTGCTAGGATTACAAACAATTCCTTTTAAATTATAAATTTTGAGTGTTAAAATTACTTACATTCACTGCAAAAAAATCCTGTTTCAAATGCTTCAGAGGAATACTTTTTGGGTTGCCTGGTTTCTTTGCTATTTTATTCTTTACGCTTATACATTCTGCTTGGTTCTGAGAATCAGAAGCACTTTCCTGAATGGCATACCCAGCAACTAGAATACCTTCCACCCTAGCTCACAAACTTGACAAATAACAATTCCCTGAGGCCCAGGGACTTGTACCAGGTCTGCTATGTGAAACTGAGGAGGTCAGGGCTTCCCTGTATCTGAGTTTCCTTATGTCTAAAATGGTAATAAAAATTATCGTACCTGGGATGAAAGATGAGGGAAGGTTGAGAGGGTCTAATGATATCATGTAAAAAGGCTTCACAATGTAAACAGTAGACCACTACAGCCCATGGGCCAAATTGAGCTGTTTGTTTTTTGAATACATAAAGTTTTATTGGAACGCAGCCACTCTGTGTTTACATATGGTCTATGGCTACTTTTGCAGTAAAGTTGAGTATTATAGTTACTGTATACCATATGGACTGGTGTATAGTCCAAACAAAAGTATTTACTATATGACCCTGTACAAAAAATGAATTATTGATCCCCCTATAGACCACAATGGGCTTTTAACAACCCACAAGTGTGTGTTGACTGATCAATCTCAAAGTCAGAAAGGGCCTTTGGAGAACTTGGAGTTGACTGTCATCACTGGACAGATCAAAACTGTGGCTGAGAAGGGTAAAAAGGTATGTCCAAGGTCACAAAGATTTGACATGGTCTTCTGGAACACAGCACTACCACCCAGCCAAAATTAAGGGAGGTGGGATGGAAGTTGAAGACAGTGAGGCCATTTGGGCCCAGTCTCAAGTTCGAATGGCTGGCGTTCAGTGACCACTTTGTGAAAGGGAGACAGAGAGAGCCTCATAACTGAAACTTATCTGTGCCAGTAGCAGCAAAATCTGGGAGTGGGAAGCCAGTTTCCAAGAGCCCAAGGAGCCTCTAAGCAGGTATCCTGTAATGGTGTAGGACTCCTCCATCACCCCAGTCCACTGCAGGGGCTGAAAGGGGGGCGATGGAGGTGGCTAATATTTATTGAGGCTTAGTGTGTGCACGATACTTTCATGAACTTACATATTTTCATCTCATCTTCACAAACACCATAGGGAACAGGTAATATGCCTATTTAAAGCTGTAAATGTTTAGGCTCACAGAGGTTAACTGCCTTGTTCAAGGTCACACAGCTGCCAAGAGGTGAAGCTGAGACTCCGCCAGGTCTGTTTGACCCGGAAACCTATGTTTTTAATATCATGCTTCACGGCACAGCCCCTTGGTGACAGGCCCGAAGGAGGGCGCATAGCTGGTAAGGAGACCTTAGCTGGGGTTCAAATCCTGGTCCATCATTCCCGATGGCTTGCGGGGAGAGTCCAGAACTGCATTTTACAACCCGCTAAAAGTCTCCTGCTCTGAAGTTTTTCAGCCCCGCCTCCTCTCTCCGAGCACCCTGAGGTCTTGAAGGGCTGGTTAGGGCTCCCGTCTCATTCCTCCGGGGCACCGCAGAGTAGGGTTCAGCCCCCTCCGGAGGAGGCAGGCGGTTCTCAGCCGCCCCTTGGAGCCCACCCCGGCGGTTGTTAGCCCCTTCTGGGAGCGGCAGGGGCTCTGCACCCGCTGCCACCAGCCCGCCGGGATCCACCTACCTGCCGCGGGGCTGTCAGGGTCCCATCCACGTCGAAGAGGCAGAGCGTTGGGCCGGACGCCGCCATGACCCTACTTTCTACCCGTACCTGTCAGGACTCGTTGGCACCAGGAAACTCGACCCGGAACTTCCGGGGTCGGCCCCTACACCGCAGGGCATGTCGGGAGGAGGAGAATCCACTCCCACAATGCCTGGGACCAGCGCCAGCCACAGTCGCCAGATCACAACTCCCAGAATGCAACGCGTATTACGCGCTCCGCGTACACCCGAGCGTGCGCTCCTGGAGGTTCCGGGGCAGGTGGGATTTACTTCCGGCGGCGGATGGCGGAGCCATGGTAAGAAAGTAGGTGGTGGAACTGGAGGTCGGGATCGGGTTTGGGGCTGGAGTAGGCAGGCGGGACGCATGGGTTTCTGACTTGGAGAATCCGCGGGAGGAAGCTCCAGTGTGGGTTAAAATTTGCCATTGCCCGGCTTTCTCCGCCCTCCTCGGGGCACGCGGGCCAGCTGTAGTCGCTAAAACTCTCTGTGCGCTCGCCGTGTATCAGGTACTGAGTTGAGGGCTTTAAAACCATCGTCTCGTTCAGTATCTTCTGAGTCCCCGTTTTGAAAGGTGAGGAAACGGAGGCTCAGAGAGATGGGGTAAGTTGCCCAAGGGTACACAGCTAGTGACTTTTGGAGCCAGGGTTGGAAGCCATGTCTAGTTCCAAAGCCTTTCAGAGCTTTTCCCACTGCGCTGCTCACCTAATAAAATCCCTGTGCTGCGAGTTGGGGCCTCCCTGACTAACTCGTCTTCCTCTCCTGTTCCTCCTTCCCCAAACTAGGCTAAGAGAAAACAGCAGTTCCCTCCAGCACCCCAAATCACGCATAAACCAGGCAGAAAACTAGAAAGTTGTTGTGATAAACACTTTAAGGATTTGTTGCTCGAATTCCCCGCTAGGACATTGATTATTTTGTTTTTTGCTTGGGGCAATGTTCACACAGCCCTGTGGATCCAGTGTCCAGCCCAGAGTTGGTCCTGCCTAGGTATTTGTTAAGAAAAGACTGCATTTCTTTTCTTATAGTTAGTTGGAACTGCCTAGAGGAAGGAGGACCAGTCTGAAAGTCAGACTCTGCTACACTCACTGACTGTGTGTCCTTGGGTAAACTTCTTACCCTTTCTGGGCTTAGTTTCCTTAGTGGTAAAGTGGAAATGATACCTGTCTCACATAGCTTTTGTATGCTCACGTGAGATAAAGCGTCTGGCTTTACCTTTCCTTCCTCTGGCTGTAATGGTGATCTCGAAGGATTGGAAGAACCCTCTCTGTGCAATGCTTTGTAGCTGTTCATTGTGTGATTGGCATGGTTGAGTTCCATGAGAGAAATGGTCTCCTGTTTTCCTTCCAGGCTGCCCTCCTCCACGGTGTGCTGAGGTTGCGGGGGCAAGGGCCAGCTGCATGGGGGAGGCCTCTTCATGGGCTGTGGTGCTGCAGTGGGCAGGAGCATCACAGGAGGTGGATGGGGGGCAGGTCACCCACCTCGAAGGAGAAACCACCAGGTACAGAGACTGAGAAATTCCAAATGGTCTACCGTTTTGATTTCATAAGGTCCTGTGCATATGTGTCTCGGCTGAAGGTGGCACAGACTGCCCTGACAGTGGTGGCCTTGCCGCCAGGCTTCTACTGGTACTCCCATGGTATGTTGACTTTCCACTCCCTGTGCCTCCTGAGTGGGATAGCTGGCTTTGCCCTAGCCATGCTGTGTTGGATGAGCCATTTCTTCCGGAGACTGGTGGGCATCCTGTATGTGAACGAGTCTGGCACTATGCTACGGGTGGCTCACCTGACCTTCTGGGGCTGGCGGCAGGATACATACTGTCCCGTGGCAGATGTGATACCTCTGACGGAAACCGGGGACCGGCCCCAGGAACTGTTCGTGCGTGTCAAGCAGTACAGTGGGAAGAAGACCTTCTACCTCACCCTGCGCTACGGACGGATCCTGGACAAAGAACGTTTCACACAGGTGTTTGGGATGCTGGACAGGTGCAGGTGAACAACTGGCAGCCAGGCCTCTGGGTGGATTTGGGCTACTGGAACTCTTACAGGAAGGCCAAGGGTGTGAGCAAGGCTGAGGAAGGGGATTGAGTTCCTGGAGAGTTTGCCCCCTAGGAACTTGTCTTTAGGCATGAAGCAATTCATGAGGCAGAAGCTGGTAACCAGGTTTAGGGAAAAGACTCTTCATGCAAATTCTTAACTGCACTTGTGTATGACAGTCAGATAATGCCAGAAGTTTCTGTTAAGAGCGAGTTCTTGGAGGAAGTTGTGATGAAGTCACCCAGACTGCTGCTGAGAAATCGGAAGACAGAACTGTGGGAGGAGTTGATGGGATTTGGAGTCAGAGGCTTGGGTTCTGTCAGTAATCAGCTTCCTGTCCTGGGGCAGGTTATTGAGTCTCACTGAACCTTGGTTTTCACATCTGTAAAATGGGAAGTCCTGCCTGTCTCATGGGATTGGTGTGAGAATAAACAATAAATGTCAAGTGTTTTGCAAGCTCAGCAGCCCAGAGCAAATATGAAGCGTTTGGTCAGAGGCTATGGTATGGTAAAAGGTTTCCAGGCAGTCCATGGCGATTTCCAGAGCCCTGCGCTGTGCCCCCTCCTATACCCAGCAGCAGAAGGGACAGAGATGAAGCTGAGAGTGGGGGGCCATTTTATCCCACCAGGATGTTAACTGCACGCGGACCTGGACAGGAATGTCATCCAAGTGAGCACAACACCCAGCTGAGATTTTGTTCACCACCCAGAGGTCTAGGGGCTCTCAGTTTGGAAGGCTTTGCAGAGTAGTAAAGCCAGATCAGGAGACTGAGGCCTGAAGATCTCTTGAGCTCAGGCGTTCCAGCCTGGGTGGCAGAGTGAGACTTTGTCTTTAAAAATAAATAATTAAAGCCAGATGGACTGTGTGCTGGTGCATTATTTTATAAACTAAGGCCAGTTATGTATAGTGCCCCCTATAATTAATAATATACGTTAATTAAACAATTTGTAAAAGTGAAGAGGAAGGAAAGTTTGATCTTTATTATTTTGCCACTCAAAAGTCAATAACTAGGTCGCAGTGGCTCATGCCTGTAATCCTAGCACTCTGGGAGGCTGAGGCGGGCAGATTGCTCAAGGTCAGGAGTTCAAGACCAGCCTGAGCAAGAGCGAGACCCCGTCTCTACTAAAAATAGAAAGAAAGTAATTGGGCAACTAAAAATATATAGAAAAAATTAGCTGGGCATGGTGGCGCATGCCTGTAGTTCCAGCTACTCGGGAGGCTGAGGCAGAAGGATTGCTTGAGCCCAGGAGTTTGAGGTTGCTGTGAGCTAGGCTAATGCCCATGGCACTGTAGCCTGGGCAACAGAGTAAGACTGTCTCAAAAAAAAAAAAGTCAATAACTAAATGTTTTATTGTGTAGTCTTCCAGTTTTTTTTTTAAATTGTAAAGTATATGTAAGTTTATCGTTTTAACCATTTTTAAGTGTACAATTCAGGGACATTAAGTACATTTATAATGTTGTGCTACCATCACCACTATCCATTTCCATAACTTTTTCATCATCCCAAACAGAATCTCTGTACACATTAAACAGTCATTGACCCCCTCTCCCTATCCCCTAGCAACCACTCTTTTAGTTTCTGTCTCTTTGGATTTGCCTATTCTGCATATTTTATATAAACAGGGTCATGCAATGTGTGTCCTTTTGTCTTGGCTTCTTTCACATGGCATGATGTTTTCAAGGTGCATCCATGTTATAGCATGTCCCAGTGCTTCATTGCTTTTTTATGGTTGAATCATACTGTATTTATATACCACATTTTGTTATCCATTCATCTGTTGACGGACATTTGGGTTGTTTCCATCTTTTGGCTATTGGTTATTACTGTAAACATTGTGTACAAGTTTCTGTTTGAGTCTCTGCTTTCAGTTCTTTTGGGTACATAAGGAGCAGTGGAATTACTGGATCCTCTGGCAATTCTATGCTTAACTTTTGGGGGACCTGCCATTTTTCCATGGCAGCTGCAGCATTTTACATTCCCACCAGCAATGTGCAAGGGTGCTACATCCTCGCCAATGGTAGTTATTTTCCGTTGTTTTGGTAATGGCCATCGTAATGGGTGTGAAGTGGTATCTCACTGTGCATTCAGGCTTTTCATAGACATACTGGACCTGGGATTGTTTGGGTTTTTACTTCATGTTATGATACAAAGCTGTCTCATATCCTGAATATTAAGAATATTCAGGAATTAAAAATATTCCACTGAGTGGATATAGCCGGTGCTTTTAACCTGTACTATTTAGGTTATTTCCATTTTTTCATTATTATAAACAATGTGGTAAATATCAAATATATATTGTGATATCCTTCCATGGAGACTGAAATGGCCTTTTGAGAAAAGTGACTTATAATCAAGTAACACGAAGTTAGAGTTTCTTGGTTAATTTATTTCATTTCTGAGAAGCAGGTAAAGCTTGTATTAATAATTCAAGACAGTTTGCAGGCTTCTGAATCATTCATTCATGCCACCCAACACTCTTGAGTATCTGCCTTGTGCCAGACACTGCTTGGTTAATTACAGAGGTTAATAGAAGAGGAGGATTTTTGCCTCTGTGGAGCTTACAGTGGAGGTCTTGGTGGGGGCCACAGGGAGGAAGAGCAGACATTAAAAAAATAATGCACGTAATTACAGATTGTGACAAGTGTAATGAAGGAGGAGGAGGCTTGAGGCTGGATGTTGGGAGAGGCATGCAAGGCCCTGGCGGAGACGGTTAAGCAGAGACCTTAGGTGTAAGTGGGAGGAGGCCCAAGCTTGTTTCAGGCTCAGGGAACTGCAATTGTGTGCTTCTGTGCTGCACAAGAACTTGGTGCATTTGCTAAGAAGAGCCTGAATTTTATCCTAATCACTGTGGGAAGCCTTTGAAAGTAAGGGAGAGGAAAGAGAATGGTGAAAGTAAGTTTGGGAGTTTTTAAGAACAAGAAGAAACAGCTCCTTTTAATTTTTATTTTTCATTTGAAGATATAAATGAAAGGGCATAGGCTTACAGATACGTTTCATTGGTTGAATTCTCACTGCACGTTAATTCCTGCCAGCTGGAGAAGGTGGTCTGGGGAGTGAGTGGGACTGGGTCCCTCAGGTGCTTGGAGACACTGGGCATCCACTGTCCCTGGGGGTACAGCTGTGGCTTTCCTACCCGGAGGGGCTCTGTGTGCAGGAGCAGCTCTTGGCCTGCATTGATTGAGTGAGGGTGGCCCAGAGCCTGCGGGTGGGCCTTAAACCCATGCCCAACTGCTGGCTCTTTTTTCAGGCTAAATGACATGTGTTATGCTTTTATGATAGCCCTACTTTAAAAATATGACCAGAACCTGACGCCCACTTCTCACCCACTCCACCCCAACCATCAGATCCAAGCTGTCCCCATACCTCCCCTGGGTTATTGCAGTCCAGGGCTTCTATCTTGGACTCACTAGAGTCTGTTTGTACAGTAGCCAAAGTGACCCTTGGGGAAAAAGAATGAATTATGTCAACTCTGCTATAAAAGCTGATCTTCTTGTGATGGCCTTCCCTACCCTCACCACCACTCTGCTGTACATCACTTCTCTAGGTCAAGTTCACCTTGTCCCTTCAGTGTCAAGGACGCTCCAGCCTCAGGACCTTTGCATTGACAGTCTCTCTGCCTGGAAACTTCTCTCCCTAGATATCTGCATAGAGGACTGACTGACCGCCCTGTTTCAGTTTCTTGTTCATGCTGAGTAAGTTGTAGTGAAGATTCAATTATGTAAAGAGGCAATTGTGTAGCTATTACATATGGGTGTGTGTTCCCTTCCGTACCTTTCTTTCTTGCCAGTTCCTTAGTGACTGTGAATTCCTTCCCCTTGAAGACATATAGTCTGTGGCTAAACGATGTATTTAGAGGTAGTAATGAGGCTGGGTTCAGCAGCTCACACCTGTAACCCCAGCACTTTGGGAGGGCAAGGCAGGAGGATTGCTTGAGACCAGGAATTGGAGACCAGCCTGGGCGATATAGTGAGATTCTGTCTCTACCAAAAAAAAAAGTAGTAATGATTTGACCTTAACCTCATTAAAACCAAAAATTTGGGCTAGTTCTAAGCAATGACCTGAAAGAACCTCACCCCTGGAGATTCTGATTGAGTATGTCTGTCTTTTTGACAGGCCTGAAGCCAACTATGAGATGTGAGCAGGTTGAGAATTTCTGAAACAGACTATAGAAGACACCAGAGTGACACGTGCTTCTGTGGACTTTGTGTTTCTGGGCCAATTTTCTGCCTAAGGAATAGGTTCCTGGCTCCACATGTAGAATCACCTGGAGGGCATTTGAGAAATCCCATTGCCCAGGCCCATGACCAGGCATCGCTCTTTTCAAGGCTTCCCAGGTGATCTGATGTCAGCCAGGGTTGGCCATGGATATCCTGAAGTACCACCACACAGTTAAGCCTGCAAGGGGCTTGCCCTGAGAGGGGAGCCCAGGTTCTCTCCAGTGTAGGCAGGATCTGCGAGGTCTGCCCACGCAGCACCAGCAGAGGGCACACAGAACAAAGGCTTGTTCCATCCCCTTATTCCAGAGCTGAAATCACGGCTCTCCACCAGACAACCGGAACTGGGTTAGCGCTTCCACAAGGCACCAGTAGGGCAGTACGTGGGAGTTGTTACAAAACCCAAATCAACAACAAAAGCAAAAGTCAGTTGTAGGACCTGTGTGTATCTGTGTTTTTATGCTCTCAAGGTAATTGCAAGGCACCCACATTCTGAGATCACTCAAAGCCATGCAATAGACGGTAAAGCAGCACAGAAAACGGAAGTGGTCTTTAGATTTGGGTGGTAGATATATTGGCAACTGCCCCCTTTAACGATGTTCCAAGATAATAATTGTCTTAATTCAGGCTGCTGTAACAAAAATACCATAGACTGGTGGCTCAAGCAACAGACATCTGTTTGTCACAGTTCTGGAGGCTGGCAAGTCCAATATCAAGGTGCTGGCAGATTAGGGGTTTGGTCAGAGCCCATTTCCTGGTTCATACACAACCACTTTCTTGCTCTGCTCACTAGTAGAAGGGGTGAGGGAGCTGTCTGGGGTCCCTTATAAGGGCACTCAGCCCACGCATGAGGGCTTCACCCTTCAGACCTAATCATCGCCAAAAGGTCCCACCACCAAATACCAATCACACAGGGGATTAAGTTTCAATGTATGCATTTGGGGGGATATAAATATTCAGTCTATAATAAAAATCTAATAGAAATACCCAAACCTACATATGAGGATGTTCACTGAAATATTTCTAATAGCAAAAATACTGGAAATAAGCTAAGTTTTCATTAGGAAGCAACACAGTTAATAAATGTTGATAGATCCATACTGTGGAATATGTGTAGCCCTTAAAAAAGAATAAGATTGAAATATATCTGCTCATGTGGAAAGATGGCTATGGGGTGGTAAGTGAAAAAAGCAAATCTCAGAACAATGTGGTTCTCTGTGATCTTGTGTTTTTTTAAAAAAATGCACACATTGCAAATTGTTAACTGTGGCTATCCCTGGGGAGGCTCTTGGGTGGGAGGGGCAGATGAGATGGGGTAAGTCTTCCACTTGCAACTTTATAACCTAGTATTATTTAACATTTTCAACATGAGCATGTTCATCTTAACAAATGTCATGCTGTAATGACAGTCTCCCCTTCCATCCCTTTCTTCTCCCTCCAGCTTTCCAGGCAAGGGGGAGAGTTTCTCAACTGTGAATTCTGATTCTGGACTGAGAAGCCGAGTAGGTAGAAGGAAACATGCAGTTGAAAAGCATCTGCACACTGATGCGGGGGTTCATGCCTGTAATCCCAGCACTTTGGGAAGCCAAGGTGGGAGGATCACTTGAGGCCAGGAGTTTGACACCAGCACATAGTAAGACCCTATCTCTACAGACAAATTCTGTTTAAAATTAGTCAGGCATGGTGGCACACACCTATAGTCCCAGCTACTTGGGAGGCTAAGGCAGGAGGATTGCTTGAGCCCAGGAGTTTGAGACCAGCCAGGCAACATAGCAAGACCCCGTCTCTATAATAAAACAAAGAAAGAAAAGGATCTACGGTACAACCATGTTTGTCCCTTGCAGCATGGCGTCACTTCCTGTCTGCTGAGAACTGTGTGGACTTGCCCCCCACCTAGGCATGCCTTGGCTGTGTATAATTTAGATGTAGGGGACAGGGTGGTCTGTAGCCTGGCAGCTTTCCTGTGACGGTCATCCAAATGTGATGAGGTCTGCTCTACGTGGTGATGACGCCCCTGGTGTGCACAGCTTGTAGCCCATGGAAAGCACAGCCCAATGGTAGCTGTGGTCCTTTCCACACTGGTCACCAAAAATGAGACTGACCTTGTCACAGGGCCAGAAGTCTATCGCATCCCTCACCCCATCATTAAATAACCATGTTTAGTGCACCCCCCAGAGGAAGATCTGGTGGGCTTAGCTGCTTGCAAGGGACAGCCTGGGATGCATTGCCCAGATAACTAGGGTCGGAAGCTTTCTTTTTGTTGCAGCTTTAGGACTTCGGGACTCATGAGTTTCTAAATGGAAAGCAACAGGGTCCCTTTGAACACGAGGCAGAGTCCAACTTTTATGGCCTTGTTTTGATCCTGCAGCATTCAACTGTAAAATCTTGCCTGATTAGGGTTAATCAGGTGGGGCCGATGCCATCTGGCCATGTTTGTACCAGCTCTAGGGACAGAATATTCGTTTTACTGATTAACAGTTGAAGTATACCCCCAGATTCCAGTTGGACTTGTACCTGTGTTTACAAGTGAGAACTTAACTGCAACAAGTGTAATATTGTCATGTAGAACCACATATGAGACACACTTATTCGTGGAGAACAAGCGGCAAAAGAAACTACTATGTATCAACCATGCACTACGTGCCTGGCAATTACTACATGATTTTATTTAATCCTGCCAGCACCACTTGGAGTTAGAGAGCCCCAGAGAGGCAGCACAGGGTCAGGGTGGAGCGCGTGGCTTCTGAGGCAAGACTTCTTGCCTGCTTGAAACCCCAGCCCTGCAACTTCCTAGCTGTTTCTTTGGGTTAGTTTTGTAACCTCTCTCTGCCTTGGTTTCTTCATCTGTGAAGTGAAGATAATAGTGCTTCCTTCCCAGGGTTGTTGGGAGGCTTAAATGACTTTACTTGCATGAAAAGCACTTAAAATAATGCTTGGTCCAGGCAAGCACTCAATAAACGTTAGTTAGCGTTACTACAGTCATCCTCATTTTGCAGAATGAGGCTCAGAGAGAGATGAAGTGACTTGCCCAGGGTCACCCAGCTAGAAGCAGCAGAGCTGAGTCATTCCACTTCCTTAGAGGGGAAGGACAGAATACATAAAACAGTGAGTCTTTAACAAAGACTTTACTGACCTTGAAGTTCTAGCACCTTCAGCCCATCTATCTGCCTTTGGAATGTGCATTTGGGAACTCACACATAGGGGCTGACAAATTCAAGTTGACCTTCCAAGGCCAGAGGCCAGGCTGGTCAGGAGCAAGTTCAAGCCAGTCCTGAGCTGACTGCACACACATGCACTGACACACACATCTGTCCACACAATAATATGTCGTTTTTCATGCATCTTTGTGTATCAGTCCCAGTTTCTAGGCTGTGTGATTTTTATCTTTTTTTTTTTTTTTTTTTTTGAGACAGAGTCTCGCTTTGTTGCCCAGGCTAGAGTGAGTGCCGTGGCATCAGCCTAGCTCACAGCAACCTCAAACTCCTGGGCTCAAGCGATCCTCCTGCCTCAGCCTCCCGAGTAGCTGGGACTATAGGCATGTACCACCATGCCTGGCTAATTTTTTCCTATATATATTAGTTGGCCAATTAATTTCTTTCTATTTATAGTAGAGACAGGTCTCACTGTTGCTCAGGCTGGTTTTGAACTCCTGACCTCAAGCAATCCGCCCGCCTCGGCCTCCCAGAGTGCTAGGATTACAGGCGTGAGCCACCACGCCCGGCCTTAGGCTGTGTGAGTTTGAGCAGGTTCCCTTAACCTCTTTACACTTCCGTTTCCTCATTTTAAAAATAGGCATACAAATACAGTGAGCCCCCGCTTCAATGTTGTTAGGTTCTCAGAAATTACAACTTTAATATGTGATTATTTAGAAAATACATTTATTGGTAAGTATTGCCTTCCAAGTCCATTGTCGTTTCGTGGGCTTGTTGGATGTTGGAGCTGGAAGGAGCCTTGGAAAGATATGGTCCAAATCATATGTCTTCCACGTGAGGAAAGGGCACTAGAGGGCCACTGAGGCAGCTGGGAGCAGCGGTGAGACAGGGACCCGTGGTTCTAGTTCCTGGTCGGGTCAAAGGGAGGACCGAGGAGGCAGCTCATCCCCGTGGGTGCTCACTGAGCACCTCTCTTGGCTTTCCCTTTGCTTCTGCCTCCCAGTTTATTCCAGTCAGGGGTCAACTCACCACCTCAACCAGCGAGTAAGAGGACCTGGTTTAATGGTTTTGCCTGAGCGCTAGGATTTTTAAAAAGCTCTTTGGGGTGATCCATAAGCACACCTAGTGCTGAGAATCACAGTCCTTCATGTTTTGGATTCCAGGATTTTCTTTCCCTCTCCCTCCCCATTGTCATTGCCCTAGTCCAGTCCACCATGACTGCACTAGGTTCCTAACCGACCCCCCCCCTCCTGTTCTTCGCAGTGAACACTCAGGACAATTTTCTGCCCTCCAAGTGGCACAGAAGGGCCTGGGGGACTGAGCCCTGCCTGCTTCTCTGGCCTCGCCTCCCGGCATGCTGGTCTCCCTCTCTTTGTGTTCTAGTAACACCGAACTGAGAGACGCCCACCCTGCCTTTGTGCTTGCGTTTAGCTCTTCTCTTGTCCTGGAATGCCCTCCATCCCACCGGAGCTATTCCCGCTCAGCCTTGAAGACACGGCTCAGGGGCCTAACTTAACCCAAGGGCTCTGGACCTGGCCTTTGTGCGTCCCAGTCCTTACGCTGGGTTGTTGTGACCTTAACCTCACTAGAATGCGAGCTGAGGGTAAGGACCACACCTTGCCCACTCTGTGTCCCTGTCACGTGGTATGCTTCATGAACTTAGTGAAATGAATGGCCCCATTGTGCTTCTATACGCAGATTTATACAGATAGAGTGTCCCCCCAAGATATCTCTAAGAGGCATATGAGAGGTACTTAATAAGTAGTGGCAAACAATTGTTGAGCAAAACCATTTCGAACGCCAAAAAGTCCACATTCACTCTGATGTTTCCATTATAAATTCTTTTAAATTTAAGAATACTGATTAACACAGGAAACAGATTTAATTCATGGAATTGTGCATATGTTCAGTTACATTGGGACATGTTCATTTCTTTATCATTTATTGGCACTATCAACAGAATACTGTAAACCAGACCACTTTGTATGCGTAAGTCTGCGATGCTCCCTAGCTATGGTTTTCTACCATGAGCTGATATATATATATAGATAGATAGGTATAGATATATAGATATATTAATGCTGTGCACAATTTTGCATGGTTACTGAGCGTCAGTAAAAATTATAAAAAAAACACCCATTTATAATAAAAGTGAGGATGTGCTAAGACTTGCTGTTATTGGACCTTGTTTTCTGTAAAAGAGACAAGACTTGCTAGACAGTTACTAAACTCTATGGCACTGATGTATGACGGATTCATTTCCAGACCACTGGCCACAGAAGCACGTCTTCCTGGGCCTTGCCCTAGACAGCAGCCTGTCCACTGGACTCCCCATGTTTTCACCAACTTCTGAGTCTCTACAACCTTGAGCTCTGCTGAGAATTCTTTTTCCTTGAAATTCTTCCAGCTAAACTCCCACCCCTCAAAAGAGGATGTCTCGGGAACTCGTTATGCCCCGAATCAACAAGAACTTGGTAAATGGCTTAAAAATTTTGTAGAGGAACTAACTTTTCTTGGTAAGGAGTGAATAATCTATCTGGAAATGGCTTTCCAGATAAAATGATCTCATCCCTCTGTCAGTGCCCCTTGGGGAGAGAACAAAATAGTGGAGCCACTCTCTCCACCGAAGAGAGCCAACTTTCTGGTTGTGCCCTGCCTTAGAACCCTTTGGACTCCAAGAACCTCATTCAGTATTTGCACCCAATGCTGACGTTCTCAGGAGAAAGCATACTGAAGTCAATGAATGAATGATGGTTTGGTTTACACTTGGCATGTTTGTCAAGTAAGGCCTTGGACCTTGGGATGTTGTCTGGAATGTGCTGGAGACCGCGGGCTGACGTGCCTTCACACGTGCCATTCCCTTCTGCAACACCCTCCTTTGCCCTGTCAGCTTGGTGAGCTCTTCCTCGTTCTGCAGAACCCTGCTCCAATGTCACTTTCGCAGAAACCTCCTCTGACCCTCAGGTGGCTTGCGGGACTCCCTCTGCTCTCCTGATGCACGTGCACCTCGGTCATAGCGCTCGCCACTCCACTCTGTTAGCTTGAGTCTGTTTCCAACGGCATGTGAGTCCCTGAGGGCAGGGACTACGTTTTATCTCACCTTTGTGTTCCTAGCGCTTAGCACAGGGCCTGGGATGGTGCGGGTACTTAATGAAAGTTTGATGAATGACTGAATGTTGAACAAATGAATATACAAATGAGACAGAGAGGGAGCTGCAGAGAGAGGGGGTCATACATCTCTCCTTAGTCGGCAGCGCAAATGACCTTAACATGGCAGAACTTATCAAAAGCCACAGATCAGCACTGACTGCAGGAATGTGAAGTGAACTGGAATGCCTGGACCTGTCCGTGTCTGTTAAACACGTCGGTGTCTTTCATTCTTCAACAAAAATACCTGGATGACCAGGTCTGCTGAAGAGTGAAAGCTAAAGGAAAAACCCACTTTGAGATCTTTGGATGGTTCGTTATTAAAGAGCAAAGTGCTGAATCAGGAACCTGGTTATGCTCATCTTCCAAAACAGCCAACCAAGCCACCAGGAGATGAAGTGGCTTCCTTTTGGACAGAGAATACAGCCACTTTCTCAGTCTACCCACTAAATAATACTTCGGGGCTCTCAGACTATCAAGTGCTCCTTTTAGGAGCATTTGAGGTCAAATCACTTCCACCAGTGTCTCACCTCCAGCAGAGAAGCTGTCGCCTCAGCCACAGCCCCACGTAAGCATTTAAGGACCATCTGCTGGGCAATCTCCACACTCAGTCATCTCAGGAAAAGCTAATTTCAGGAGGACAAGCACAAGGGAACTGCCTTAAACCAATGTACCCCATGCACGGAGCTCTGGTGCCTTTAATTCATGGCACTTCCCTCAAGACAAGAAGAAATCCAGTCCAGCAGGGAGTGCCCCGATGGCACAGCCGAGCCACTCATGCGTCCACTCAGTGGTGGAGGGAATGTGGATGAGCAAGAGCCTCCCGGGATAAGGGGTCCACGAGCCCAGGCCCCCAGGTGCCCGGGGAGACGGGGTGTGTGGTTCTGCCACCCGGGCCCCTGGGCCTGCGCTCCTGGGGCGACAGGTGTGTGCTTCTGACCTTTCAGCTCAAGCGTGTCCTGTGGACTCTCAGGCTGCAGGCCCAGGCTGACATTTACCAGGGAGGACAGAGTTTGGGGCATGGAGGCTGTCGAGTGGGAACTGACAGTGATGCCACCTAGACATCCTCCAAGGGTGGAGCCCCGTGAAGGACAGAATTCGGTTTGGAGGAACCCCAGGGGCACTGAGAGGGGTGGTCCTGGTCTCCAGGAGGCCAGGAGACCCCTTCCGCCACCTCTGAGCTCAGTCCTCATGTCCCCACTTCTCTGCCCTCCTAGGCTCTGTCCTGTCCCTCGCTGAGGTGTGCCGGGGGCGTGCTCAGAGCGTGGGGGCTGGGTGAGGAGGTGAGGGCTGTTCGCTTGCATAGGGCAGGGGCAGCCGGCATCCTCATTACAGAATATGGCACTTGAGATGGACTGGAACCCCTAAGTCCCAGCCACCAGTCCCAGGAGCATGTGTGACTCCCTTGCCTGGCTTCCAGAACCATTACTGGGTCGGTCAAGGGTGGGCAGAAATATGGCCACGATCCCAGTGGCCCTTCCCAAGACTACGTCCAGGCTCTAGCAGAATTTCTGGGCTTAAACCAACGTGCACCCTTAGCTCTGCAGGAGGAAAATCGAAAGCAGCCCTCCCCTGCTCTCTCCCCCTCCCGCAAACCACCACACATGTTCCCTCCTCACAAAAAACCCTTCCGTGTATGCATTCACCTCTGATACTTTTAAGTGAAAACATGAATTAGGCAAACTAATCAATTTGACAACTGTTGAGATCGGGGCTTCCTCAGAGAGCAGTGGAAATGGCGTCTTTACTTGAAGTCTGCTAGGATGTCGCTGAAGATATTGAGGAACAGGTGAGCATGGTGGTCCCTGAAGACCAGCGTGGGGCGGAAACGAATGGACTTGTCGCCGCAGCCCCCCAACACCACACCTGGAAGAAGAGACAGCAGGAGGTTAGGAGCTCGGCTCTCGGGGCCGCCTGCTGGGCGGGCTGGAGGGGAAGTGACACCCACTGGTACACTGTCCGTCCACACGCCACTCTTCCCGCCCGGGCTGCCGCCTGGGCTTTCCATCCACCGTCCAGCCTGCGTTTCCTCTGTCTGCCTCCATCTCGTCCGTCATTCTCTTCTTTCCCTCTCTCCCTCCCTCTTGAGTTCGATTGCTCTGCTGCCCCCGAACTAGGTTTGGTGTCAGAGAAACCCTGAGATGAGTCCTCCCCTTCCAGAAACTCATGGAGGAGTGGGCAAAGAAAATGGGCAAATAAATCCCAAAAGCCCAGGCTAAGACGGAAGCACACAGGAGGTGCTGAGCTATCATCACTGCAGAGGGTCAGACCCTGCTCGTTTTGAAGGGCGACTTCCTCACGCACAGCTGGGCATCCTTGCCGAGGGTGTTTGGATCTTTGAGACTGAGTTTTCTCATTTTAAAAGGGAGGCTGATTATCGCTGCCCTTGCAGGACTACTGCAAGGATTCTGTAAGATGGTACAAGACAAGTACCCGACATGGTGGTTGACACATAGTAGGTTCTCTGATCACACAGCAGTATCCCTCCCACCTACGACTCTTCACCAGCCTCCCATGCCTCCTAGGGTAAGTCTGGAGCGTGCAACCTGATCCGCAGCTCGGCATGATGTGGGCCAGGCCGCCCCTCCCCCAGCCGCATCCCCTCCCGTGTCTGTCCCACCGTGTCTGTCCCACCGCCCTCCATCCTCTCCCTTTCTGCACCTCCACAAGCTCCATCCTGCCCCGGGGAAGTACACAAATTCCTCCCTCTGCCCAGAATGCTCCTCTCACCTTCTTCACCTGGCCAACCTCTGTTCATCTGTCAAGACTTAAGGTAAAATGCCATTTCCCCAAGGAAGCCTTCCCTGATTTCCTGGCCTAGACACCCTTGCCAGTTTTGCTCTCTGTCTCCTTTCCTCCTTCCTGGGACTTAACATCACAGTGGATTGCGTGTGGAATGCTGAGTTTGATGTCACCCCTTCCTGCTAGACTGCAGGCTTCCTGGAGGAAGGGGCCTGATGGGCTTCTGCACAGTGACTCAGTGCACACAAAATTCGTCTCAGTGAATACTCATGGCAGTGCACACACAACTCAGCTCAGCGAATACTCACGGCAGTGCACTCACAGCTCAGCGAATACTCACGGCAGAGCACTCACAACTCAGCTCTGAATACTCACCGCAGTGCATGTACAACTCAGCTCAGTGAATACTCACCGCAGTGCATACACAGCTCAGCTCAGCGAATACTCACTGCAGTGCACACACAACTCAGCTCAGCGAATACTCACTACAGTGCACGCACAACTCAGCTCAGCGAATGCTCTCCGCAGTGCACTCACAACTCAGCTCAGCGAATGCTCACCGCAGTGCACTCACAACTCAGCTCAGCGAATGCTCTCCGCAGTGCACTCACAACTCAGCTCAGCGAATGCTCACTGCAGTGCATGCACAACTCAGCTCAGTGAATACTCACTGCAGTGCACGCACAACTCAGCTCAGTGAATACTCACCGCAGTGCACTCACAACTCAGCTCAGCGAATGCTCACTGCAGTGCACGCACAACTCAGCTCAGTGAATACTCACTGCAGTGCATGTACAACTCAGCTCAGTGAATGCTCACCGCAGTGCATACACAGCTCAGCTCAGCGAATGCTCACCGCAGTGCACGCACAACTCAGCTCAGTGAATACTTGTTGGATCCATATGTGAATAAAGAAACCCGACTGGTAACTTTCTCTTCTTTCAAGAAAGAGCATTCAGGCTACTTTTGTCCCTTGTTCCAACTGCCCCCACCCGAGGACCCGGCAGTATTTTGCACGCACTGCAGGCAATGCCCGGTCCCGTACCTTTGTTTCTGGCAATCAAGATGAGCTTATTCCGTACTGATTCATCTGGAGTGTCGAAGGAGCAGAAGGTGCCTCGGCCTCTCACTCTGCTGATGAACTGGGGGTACCGGGCCTGCGCGGGGGAGACAAGGCTGGCATCAAAGGCTGTCACCTGCGTACCAGCTCAGCTTAATGGCTGTGCCTCCTCCAGTGCCGCCCCTGGGCCAGCCGCTGGGCGCCTGCTATCAGGGAGGGGGCACCTGTTCGGGGCTCCACAGATGAGGAAACTAAGGCTCGAGGTCCCCCGGCACTTACTCTGCCCTGTTCTGGCACATGCTGATTGCTGAGGAGCCAGCGCGTGGCCTGGGGAGGCACGGAATAGGGTCTCTTCCGTCCGACACTCCTCCGTCCCTTGTGACACAAACTCACAGAGCAGGGCGTAGTAACTTAATGAGTTGATGCGGGGCATAGGGAACGCCACCCCCTCCTCACCTAGGGTGCTGTCACTGCCTCGGGGGACAGGTGCTTACGGGCAGGCAGACCTTCCTTCTCTCGCCTGTTTGTCCCACTGAGCCTTAGGGCCTTGCAGTAATCCCAACTCCTGCTTGCGTACGGCTTCCTGAGGTCCTGATGGGGACCCGTAGCCCCACCCCCCCTCTAAATTAGCTAACGAAGGGTCCCATAGCACGAGGCCAGGGGAATTTCCGTGGAGCCTTGCTGTGGCACCACCTGGCACATGGGAAACGCTGTCCTCCAACACGCCTACAGCCAAGTTGCCTCAGTCAGGGGCCGTCGGGCCCCTGCAGGGCTCGCCCCCGCGACCAGGGATGCGCGGCATTAACCCGGGCACTTTCGGAGACTCGGGCCTTGCGCTTGCTGGGGTATCGTGACCTCGCTGGGCTGGAGGCTCATTTCTTCTTTATTCTCCTGGGCCACCCTGCCATCCGGCAACGTGACCGTGACCCTCCCATCGTTCTGTCCCCTGGCCTGTGCAGGGACACCTCGCGTTCTGAACTTGTCTGCTTCTCTTTCTGCCCTAGTGCCCTGTTCTCTGTGTCCCCATCCCGGCCCTCTGCCAGGCTGTGGACTCTGCCTGTGCCTTCCTATCTCGAGAGCCTGCAGGACACCTGCCACGATGGGTGACAAGGAGGGACCAAGTCAGCGCAGGGCCAGGAGCAGTCCCCGAGCAACGCAGCCGCGTCCCGCAGTGGGCGCACAGACGACCGGCGCGAAAGGCTTCGGCGGAAGGAAGGTCGGCCCTGGGTAGAGGCGTCCCCATCCCGCCCCTGACCCCAGCTCTGCTTTGAGTCTAGTCCAGGAAAACCCGTCTCTGGATTCCGACCAGAGTGGTGTCGCGTGGAGGGGCTTAGCTGTCAACAGCTACCCGCAGAGTCTCTGGGATCAGCTGGGCTTTGTCACCTGGGCTTGGGTGACACACGCACCTCCCCAAGCCCCCATTTTCTTGTCCGGAAATGCAGATCACGTTTTTCTAATTTCCAATTGTTCTGAGTTAAGGTTGCCAGGTGAATACAGGACACCCAGTGGATTGGAATTTCAGATGAGTCATTTTTTTCAGTATCAAAATGTCCCAAATGTTGCATGGGATATACTTATACTAAAAAAGCAGCCTCTGTTCCTCAGGCTTGGCTTGGCTGGGCGTCCTGCATCGCGGTTTGCTAAGTCTGGCAGTCCTAGTGGGGTGAAGTGAGGGAGCATCTTCTGGAACTCCTGCCTGCGCCGTGTCCCCAACTGTGTCCTGTACCTGCCCTTGGGCCCTGGAACTTCTGAAATTTAAATTTAATGGGGGGGGGAGGGTCCCTGCCTTTTTTCTCCCCTAAAAGTGGCAAACACTAAGGATTAAATGAGTTAAGGCACTTAACACAATGCCTGGCACATAAGCGAGTTCTCAACTGATGGAAGTTGCCGTTACGGATATTACTAGTAGGTCCTTGATCCTGCCGGAGAGGCAAACACTGGCAAAGAACGTGACTTTGAAGTGCACCAGAATCAAGTTCAAATGTCAGCAGTGCCACGACGAAGCCACATAACTTTGGGGAAGTTAATAACACCTCCTTGCCTCAGTTTCCTCCTCTGTAAAATAGGGGTAATAATAGTGGGGAGACCCACAGCATTACTGTTTGATTTCCACATAAATAGAAGTTTTTACTGCTATCGTCTTCCCTGCTGTCATTATCACCACCACCATCACTATGAATGTCACCACCTGCCGGGGTTCTGCCCAAGCCACTGGGGCCTGGATGCTTCAAGATCTCAGGTGGCTCTTTGAGACCAGACACCTGGAGATGGTCATCGCTCCTCTCAACTTTGGGCTCTTCTGGCCACTTCTGGAAACACTGGGCCCCCCCAGCCACCACCCCCCCCTCCCCAAGTCTAGGAGAGTGATGCTTGTGAACCCAAAGTAATCGCAAAGGTTCTTTTTTTTTTTTTTTGAGACAGAGTCTCACTTTGTTGCCCAGGCTAGAGTGAGTGCCGTGGCGTCAGCCTGGCTCACAGCAACCTCAATCTCCTGGGCTCAAGCAATCCTTCTGCCTCAGCCTCCCGAGTAGCTGGGACTACAGGCATGTGCCACCATGCCCGGCTAATTTTTTCTATATATTCCTAGTTGTCCAGATAATTTCTGTCTATTTTTAGTAGAGACAGGGTCTTGCTCTTGCTCAGGCTGGTTTTGAACTCCTGACCTCGAGCAATCCACCTGCCTTGGCCTCTCAGAGTGCTAGGGTTACAGGCGTGAGCCACCGCACCCGGCAATAGAATATTTTATTAAAATGAATTTCACTTCCTTTCTTACATCTCATCTGGTTACTAGAACGTTCAAATGACTTGCGTGGCTTGCAAGCAGCCCGAGAGACAGCCCTACTGCCGAGCGGTGGTGTGGAGAAGGCGGCGCAGAGCGGGATGGCGCATCGCTGTGAGTGAGACGGGGTGCCAGGGAGGCTGCTCAAAGGAGGGACGTCTGAACGCGATGCCCAAAGACAGCCGGGAGTTCAGGAGCGGGGACTGGGATGGGGACGGGGACGGGAGCCATCTCTGCAGAGGGCACGGCACGTGCAAAGGCCAGGAGGCCAGGAGCAGCGCAGCGCCGCCACGATGGCTGGAACACCGAGTGCCACGCCATGCTGCAGACCGCCGGGCTTGCCCTGGGCTTGTGGGGCCTGTGGTGGGGGAGCCTCTGGGGTGCGGGGCCGCGTGGGGTACCTGGAGGTCCAGCAGCCCCGTGAGCAGCACCTTCCCAGCGTGCGCTGCGTTGTTCAGCAGGTCTTCCCGCTTGATGACGTCGATGACCTCGGCCAGGAGCAGGTTCTTGGATGGGTCCCCCAGCCAGGTGTTGAAGATCCGGTAGGGCTGGAGCGAGGAGGGGGTCGGGAGGGTCACACGTGGGCCCATCCCGAAGGGGCCATGGGACACGCCTTCTCGGCGCAGAGAGAAACTAACTCAGCGAGCATCCCCCAGGGCTGGGAGGAGAATGCGTCTTATCTCACTGAATTCTTCCAACAGTGACAACCCCGTAGGTAGCTACTGCTATCAGGGAGACCAAATCGTCCCATGCTCTGGGACATCCCTCAGTCCCGGGGAAGCTAGACAGCTGGTCCTCTAACTACGACACTTCCCATTTTACACAGGAGGAAGATGAGTGATTTCCCAGGGTAACTATGGCTGGTAGGTGGTAGAGTTGGGCTAGATCTCTAGCCGTCTGAAACAAAGATCACCCACTGGGCCAGGCACACAGCAAAGGCTCGGTCCCCGGCAGCCACTATTAGCAGTGTTACTGCGTGTGCACACAGAGAATCGGCGAAAGACTGACAAAGGACTGCCCCGGAGTTGGCCTTGAAGAGAGCTTGGGTGATCACCATGGGCTAATGAAACCGGTAAGAACAGGGCCCTCGGAAACTTCCGTGAGACGTTAGGTGTGCGCCCAGCACCCCGTTTGTGAGGAAGGAGCAGCTATGAGAGGGACGTGCCCTGCTCTGCCCACGGACAGCGACTCACAGCATTAGGCCTGAACTCCTCCTTGTGGAAGAAGCCGCCAGTCATCATCTTCTTGCTGAAGGTCATCAGGTCTGCTGGGTCGTCCAAGCCCCAGTGCTCATGGGCCCAGAACTTGCCGGTGCAGCCCCCTCCAGTCTGGACCTCGTCCACCAAGAAGGCACAGCCGTGCTGGGGACGGAGATGGGTAATGGAGATGGGTAATGAACATGCGCAGGCGGCTGGTGGAGCAGCCCCGCCCCCGCCCAGCCCACCACTGCCAAAGCCCAGCCCAGCCGCAACGGGCCTGTGTCCTGAACTGCAAGCCAAGGCCCCGTTCTCAGGCCACACAAAACAGAACAGACCCGTAAGCAGAGCTGTGTCTGGCTCCTAACACTGCCGAACCGGAACAGAAGACCCGGAGCGTCAAGTGCTCCCGGCACTAAACAAGGGCTCCGGGACAGAGCTGGAGCCAGCCCTTGGCCTAGGACCCACCCCAGGAGCCCCTGTAGTCCTGCCTGCCCTCGGCCGCGTCCACTGACCTTCCTGGCGATGTCCCTCAGCTTCCGGAAGAAATCGTCGGACGCGTGGTTGTCTCCACCCTCGGACTGGATGGGCTCCACGATGATCCCGGCCACTGTCTTTTCCTTTTTCCGGTATTTCACGATGAGATCCTCCACCTAGATTCCGGACGGGGAAGAGACGATTGCTCGCTGAGGCTCTTGACCCGTATCCATGGGCGGGCATCTGGGGTTCCATGAGCCCCTTAAAGTGTTATAGAAAATGTGGGGTTTTTTTCTTTCTTTTTTAAAGAGACAGAGCCTCACCACGTTGCCCAGGCTGGTCTCAAAGCCCTGACTGATGCTCTCACCTCGCCTCCCAAAGTGCTGGGAGCATACACCTAGATAGACTAACGAGTGAAATCTCTCCTTATCATGCACAACTAACAAAAGCCTTCTGCTCGGATGGTGTGATTTTGGCCTTGGTCTCCACCACTCACCGCAGGGAAGCTCCAAGACACTTGTCTTCGCTTTCCATCATTTGCACTTCGTGGCTTTTTGCTTTGTAAAAAATGTGATTTCTAGAAAAGCTGTGATTACATCCCTGTGCTGGATTATATTCCTATCGGGCAGTGCCGTGCGTTACCCCATGATCTCCTTTCTTTCATTTGCCACTGATACCCAGCACCTAGCATCGTGCTTGACACCTAGTAGGTGCTCAGTAAACATTAATCCACTGGACATGATGATGAGCCTAAGAGGAAAACCACAGCCTTATTGGAGCTCAATCCAAACCTGAAGAGTGACAGTTATTTTTTTTTCCAGCAACAGAATCTTTCCAGCATCCTCCATGGAACCCCAGAACAGACCAAAGGTGGACTGTTTGGCCGAAGAGGAAGCCTGAGGCGACAGGGGCTGTGTGTCCCCAGTTTCTCCCAACACAACCCCCAAGGCGGCCCAACAAAGCCTTAGGACCTGGGGCAGGACAAAACCAGTGTGCCAGAGGATCCGTGGAACCACTGGTTCCTATGCGACACCCCATATTCTTTTTCTCTCATTGGAGGGTTACTGAAGCTGGCCCCCAAAGGAACCTCAGTGATACAGACATTGGTGCCCAATGGGGTGATGGATGCTGGGTGAGAAACAGTGTGTCACCCTGCCCTTCCCAATAGGGGGAATATTCGGGACACTTGTCTCCCTGTCCCCACCTCCCTCCCAGGGAGCACCACACAGGTCCCCGGGTAAACCCGTCATCTGCTCCTCTTCTCCTGGGCCAAGTCTTGGGGTGGCGAGCGTAAGGGGCTGGAGCGGGGAGGATCTGCGAGATCCGGGGTTACCTCTTCCAGACAGCGGGCTTCCTCTTGTTGGTTTTCTTTCACAAACTCTTCCAGAGGATATTTCAGCCGGGGGAAGGGCGCGATGGGCCAGTCGAAGGAGGGGATGTCGAGCTTGTGAATGGCTTTGGAGTGCGTGGTCGCTAGGCAACCTGAGTCCGGCAAAACAAAAAAGCAGATGCTAGGCTTGGGGAAGTGGGCTGGACAGCCTTTGAAAGGGAGGGGACAGGCTTTTCAGCCCAGGGCTTTCAATGCCCGGGGAGGCCGGTCGCCCGCAGAACTCCAGTTCTTACAACATTCTGAAGCTGAAGGGGAACCTGCGAACCTTTAATTTTCATGTGTGCTTGTGGGTGTGTGCGTGCATATGCGTGCGTGTGTGTGCATGTTTGCTTTGTGATTTATCACAGATTAAGCACAAGTATTGAAGACAGAGAGTCTAGAGTTCAGATCCTGGCTCTGTCACTGAATGGCCTGAGCCTTGATTCCCACATCTGCAGAGTAGGAATAATAACCCACACTTCCCAGGGGAGCTGTGTGGAGCCAATGAGACGACATGAACAGACGGCCAGGGCCACACGGAAGGCGGCCGTGGCTGCTGCCACTGCTGTGCCTCGGCCTCCTTACCCATGGTTCTCCCGTGGAACGCGCCCATGAAGGAGAGGATGCTGTACTCGGGGCACCCGGGGGCCTAGAACCGAGAAATACCAGTCGTCAGTCACCACTGTAGGGACGCCGGAGCTGTGCCGTTGACCCCGCAGACCCAGGGGGACGGAGACATCTGCCAGAAGGACTGGGAGCCCTTCTCAGGCGCATGCTACCAACTGGACCCCTGAGGTCTGTATTCAGGGCACAGATGTTTTATTTTACCCACATACTTACATTTTTTTTAACCCTTTGTACTCGGATGTTGAGTGTGGATAATGTCGAGTGGATGATGAGAAAAAAGCAAGCGAGTGCAAAGGGTTAAATCTATTGCCAAATTTAAAATAAAGAGATTTCACACAAATATCTGAGATTCCGGATTCTCACAAGCCCTGCACCATTTGGGCTCATTTTTCTCCTGTGGCAGCAGCAGGTGGCCAAGCAGCACACCCTGCCTTTCTCCTTCCTGTTCCCACTTGGCGGGCAGGGGGCTGGGAGTTGTACCCCTGCTCTGCAGCTCTTCAAGCTCCTGTCTCAGGTGGGCCAGGTGCTAACGAGGGACACCTGCCTCCCAGGGTGACCTGAGACAGGGGCTGAGCTGGGTAGGCCCCTCCCAGGAAGTGGCTCTGGCCTTTGCAGGAGGTCTGCCCTTGATAGACCAGCTCTGAGTGCAGGGTGCATGATGTCCCAGTCCTCTCCCAGTCCCAAGCAGATGCCCAGCTGCCACCTGGTGCACGCATTCCTGCAGATATACTGGATTGTTCTAGACCCGTCAAATCCAGGCAGTCGTCCGTCCTGGGAAACCACGGAAAGCCCACCAGGGAGTGCTCCACTCAACCTTGACACCCAGGAAGCAGACCCCCAAATGGAAACGTGTGGGGACTCCCCCTAATCGAGAGGGACAGTGCCAGCCCCCCAGACACACGCGATGGAAGCCCAGCCGCACTCGCCTGGTTAATCATGCAGGTCTCCAGCTCCTCTTTGGAGAAGCCCCTCTGCCCCCTTTCCTTGCTCTGCCAGGACAGAACAGAACAAAATGTCAGACGCGCTCTGGGGTGGGGCATCCCACCCACACCCCTGTCAGTCCGGACAGCAGGAAAGTACTTTCAGCAGCTGCTCTCATGTACTGATTGTCACATGGCTGTACTGAGGCATGAGACTGTTAGTTGTGCTTGCAACTAAATAAACAGTGGAATCCACAGGATGCACAATATTCTATCGCCAACAACTCAGATCTGTGGCGGGGGCTTAGGTTAGGCGAGGAAAAGTAGAGTAATAGTCACACTGCGTAGGTTTGATGCCGGCCTCCCTGGATTTTAACTCAGGTCACCGAAGTCTGCTACTCTAGCCGGTCAGGATGAACAGTCGGACAAGGGGCGAGTGTGTGGCTGGGTACACACAGGGGTGTGTGCGTGTGCATGTGTGTGTGTGTGTTCATGCCCCAAACCTCACCCGGTACCACATGAAGATGGTCTTGAATGCATTCTCATTGGAGCAGGAGCCACAGGCCATGGTGATGAGCTGGGACATCCCCTTGGGAGCCACCTGCAGTGAGGGAAACAGCTGTGACCCAGGTTTATACGGACTCAGCTTCTCAGGGCTGTATCTCCATAGGGTGGGGGTGGGGCACACCCTGGGCCCCGGGGCCTTGGGGAGGCAGAGGGAGGGCAGGAGGGAGCCAGGCTTGTCCTGGAAGCATGGGACGGGGAGGGTGGACTCAGGCTTGTCCAGGAGCTGAGACGCCCAGGAAGGCCCAGCCCCTGAGGCTGGCAGAGAGGAAAGAGGGGTGAAAAAGCCCCATCTGTCGCTGGTGACACAATGACTGCTCCCTAGGACACCCACGTCCCCCAGGTGGGAAGCTGAGGCTCCCAAAGACTTTTATCTTCGCAACAGCTGACATCAAGAAGCAGGGGAAAGACTGAGTAACATGCACAAAGCTCCTGTTGTAGGACACATGAATTTCCCAAGTTCCCTTTGTCCTGCACACAAAGAATCCCTCATTTTCTACAAAAGGAAAATTAAAAACACTCTGCATGAAAGCATAAGCACAAAGAGCTCGATTTCCCAAGCAGCGCCCATCCGTCATTGTCATGGCTCTGGGTCTTCTCCTCCCCGGGCTGGTGGCACCGTGTCTGAGCACAGCGGGGCTGCCACGGCGGCCGGGTGGTCCCCTGGGAACTCACCGAGAGCAAGGACGACCGGAGCTTCTCCACGAAGTTCTCCGGAGGCAGGATTCCCAGGGCAGGTCTGTTGATGAACGTGCTCTGCAAAAGGCCAGGAGACAAACGGTGACTTCTCAGCCCGGCCCAGCCCCCACCCACGGACCATGCCCTGCACAGACCCCGCGTTCCGACAGGCTCTGAGTGTCGCATGTGGACGGCATTCTGCGGTGTGGGGAACGGCAGGGTGCCCTGACATTTTAGAGAAATCCACTATGATTGCTCTGGATTTCCTGGTTGTGATACTGCATTATAGTCATAAAAGACGCTACTGATTGGGGGAAACTGAGTGAAGGGTACATGGGACCCCTTTATGCTATTTTTTGGTAACTTCTTGTGAATCTATAATTTTTCTTTTAAAAACCATCAGAATGGCTATAAGAGCCAAAAAATGTACACTAGCAAGTACCACTGAGGATGTGGAGCAAGTAGAACCCTCATTCGCGGCTGGTGAGAAGGCAAAATGCGCTGCCCCTTTGGAAAGCGGCTTGGTCGTTTCTCACAACGTGGGACGTCCCCTTCCCTGTCACCCAGCAATCCACTCCGGTGTTTGCCCAGGTGGACTGAAAGCTCGTGTCCACACAAACATATGTGCGTGGATGTTTATTCTGGCTTTTGTTCTCAGTTGCCAAAAACTGGAAACGGCCCACGTGTCCCTCCACTGGGGAAAGAGAGACAAACGGCGGTTCCTGCACGCAACGGAACGCGACTCGGCGACAAAAAGGAGCCGTCTACCCGTGCGCACAGCAGCGCGGAAGAACCTGAGTCAGGACGCTGAGCGGCAGAGGCCGGAATCAAAGGGTTATGTGCCGTAGGGTTCCATGCCTATGACAGTCTGGAAAAGGCAACGCTGCTGGGACAGAAAACAGCTCGCGCTTGCCAGGGGCTGGAGTCAGATTCACTGAAAAAGGCCCGGGTACTATTTGGGGTGATAAACCCATTCTATCTAGGCTTCAGAAAAGTTTATAATAAAAAACACATAAATAAAACTTACCATCTTAACTATTTATTTATTTTTGAGACAGAGCCTCACTCTGTTGCCCAGGCTAGAGTGAGTGCCGTGGCGTCAGCCTAGCTCACAGCAACCTCAGACTCCTGGGCTCAAGCGATCCTACTGCCTCAGCCTCCCCAGTAGCTGGGACTACAGGCATGTGCCACCATGCCCGGCTAGTTTTTTCTATATATTTTTAGTTGGGCAACTAATTTCTTTCTGTTTTTAGTACAGACGGGGTCTCGCTCTTGCTCAGGCTGGTTTCGAACTCTTGAGCTCAAGCGGTCCTCCCGCCTCGGCCTCCCAGGGTGCTAGGCATCTTAACTATTTCTATATGTACAGTTCAGTAGAGATAACCACGCCCCACTGTTGTGCAACCATCGCCACCATCCATCTCTAGAACTTTTTCATCATCCTGAGTTGAAACTCCGCCCCCATTAAGCAGCTTCCCATTCCCACTCCCCCAGCCCTGGCAACCCATTCTACTTTCTGTCTCTGTGAGTTCAACTACTCTACATGCCTTGTCAAAGTGCAATCATATAGTATTTGTCTTTTTGTGACAGGCTTGTTTCCCTTAGCGTAATGTCCTCAGTGTTCATCCATGTTGTGGTATATGTCAGCATTTCCTTTCTCCTTAAGGCTAAATAATATTCCACTGCACAGATAGACCACGTCTTGTGTAGCCACCCACTGTCCATGGACAGGTGGGTTGCTGCCACCTGCTGGCCGCTGTGAATATCACTACTGGGAACACAGGTGTGCAAACCTGTCTGGATTTTGACTGTGCATTTGCTGAAACCTATAGGGAACCGTACACTAACAAAGGTGGATTTTACTGCATGTAAATTGCACCTTAATTTTTTTAAAGAAATAAAGAAGAAAAATAAGGCATGAGGAGACGGCGGCAGCTCTGGAATTTCTAAATAGAGGTCTGGGCCGGGGGGCGGTGGCTGGCTAAATACCCAGGGTAGACTGAGTGTGGAAAAGGCCGTGTTAGAAGATTACAAGATTCTGTCTGTTGCTCTTTCTTTCTCATTCTGATGGGTGTAGATCCAGAGAAACCCTTTCCTCTGCAAGGAAATCGGCAGTGTGGCCGGATGCTGAAGGGACGCTCCTGCCCGACGCCCGGGAGCGGGCGTGCCTGGTGGTGGCGGGGACGGAGCTGCCTGGCCGGGCCTGGGCCAGCGCTGCTCTGTGGCTGCCGGGCAGGAGCTCGGGCCCAGGGAGCCCGTGCCTCCGAATTTCAGAAGAAAACAGGAGTGCAGATTTCAATGCGCATTAACTCTGAAATGCTGTCCAAAATACCTTTAAACAGCTGGGGGACAGTCCCCCACTCCTGTGCTGGCTCTGAAACCCGGGCTTGGTCGCCAGCTGCCCACACAGCAGGGTGGCCGTCCCGAACCTCCCCTGCCAGGCTTGCTGCCATGTCCCCAGAGCGGAGCCGGACGAGGAAAACAAACCATAGAAATCTAATCCAGGAAGGACACCTGCCGTGGCAGAAGTCTCGACTGTGCTGGTTGTTGCTGTATCTTAAAAGCCTCACCGCATCTCATACTCTGATTGGGGCTGTCTCATCTCCTGACCGTCTCTAAAGAAAGGACTTCAAGTGTGGACAAAGGCTAGGAATTTAATTCTGTAGCAGTCTTTACAACAACAAAAAGGAGAAACACTCTTCAGTGCCCAATATTCGGTTAAGGGAAGGAAGGCACATTAACTCAAGGTAACATTATACGGCTACTAAAATGGTTTTTGTAAAAGTTGCAATCCCGTGGAAAGGCTGAGATTACAGTGGATTTTTTTTTCTTCTTTTTATAAAAAGCTAGTCAGGAAGGTTTGTACCCCCACCGTCCATTCTGTAACTTACTTACTGAGTGCCATTACGTAAACCGCTGCACTCTATTTCTGGACAGTAGAGCATTCACTCACACTGGAGTCATGTGCACTGCACAATGGCATCTTGGTTGAGTGTGCACTACCTATATGATGGTCCCATAAGATTATAATGATGCTGGCACAACAAAATTGCCCACTGAGAATGGATCCCTGTTGTTAAGCAACACATGACTGTATTTCATTCCAGAGACCACTTAAGGGAGTGCAAAAGTGCTAGATTAGGAGTTCAAACTATTAAGGTTAAGTCACTTAATGTTAATGAGCCTCAAGTATTTAGTCTTTATTTGTTGATTTTTTGTTGTTTTTTTTTTTTTTTTGAGACAGAGTCTCACTCTGTTGCCCAGGCTAGAGTGAGTGCCGTGGCGTCAGCCTAGCTCACAGCAACCTCAATCTCCTGGGCTCAAGGCATCCTCCTGCCTCAGCCTCCCGAGTAGCTGGGACTACAGGCATGCGCCACCATGCCAGGCTGATTTTTTCTATATATTTTTAGTTGTCCAATTAATTTCTTTCTATTTTTAGTAGAGACGGGGTCTCGCTCTTGCTCAGGTTGGTTTCAAACTCCTGACCTTGAGCGATCCGCCAGCCTTGGCCTCCCAGAGTGCTAGGATTACAGGTGTGAGCCACCGCGCCCGGCCAAGTATTTAGTCTTTAAAAGGAGTGATGCTGCCACTGCACCTCTAGCCCAGGTGACCCTCTCTCTCTCTCTCTCTCTCAAAAAAAGGGAGAATAACACCTGCCCTTCGAGCTCACAGGGGTGCCACCAGCCTCCTGGCCCCATAGAAGGACGAGGTGCGCCCAGAGAGGGTGGAGCTGTGAGCCCCCAGAAGCCAGCAAGGGAAAGACAGCACTGGTGCCTCTTGGGCACCGACTTGTGGCAGGCATTGGGCAGGAACTTTACTTGTCCTTATAACCTTGTCACCCTTTACTGATCAGAAGAACAAGTTGTTATACTAGAGGAGAGATGCTTTAGATTTAGAGGCAAAATGTGTCAAGCCAGTGAATTCAGAAAAGTTCAGCTCTGCAAGAGACAGAGGTGGAAGCTGTGTGTGTGTGGGGGGGGGTTACTCCCGGACTCCAGGAGGGAGGGGAGCCAGGGCACAGCTGGGGGCTGCCCAGGAGCCCCAGGCCCTGCTGAGTTTGGCCCCTCCAGTGACTTGGTGATGAGAGCCCTTTCATGCTGATGAGAAGGGACCCGCTAATGGGCTAGGAGCAGGACAGCCGCTGGAGGTCCAGCCAGCAACCCCGGGCGGCGACTGGGAAGAGGCCTGGAGGGGTCTGGGATGGGGATAAGCAACGGGCTCACGAGGAAGTGGATTTGGGTTAGAAAAGGGGATTGTACTTAATGCAATTAGGCATCCTGGATCAGATCCTGGAACGACAAACGACATTAGTGTGAAAACCGGTGAAATCCAAGTAAAGCCTGCAGCGTGCCGTGTCCCAACGTTAATCTGTACAGAGTGCTTTGACAGACGTACCTGAGGTGAGATGCTGACACAGGGGACAGCTGGGGAAAGGTACGTGTGGCCTCTCTTTACAGCTCATCTGTGCATCCACAATTGTCTAGACAACAACCTAGTTATAAAGGGGGGAGGATAGCGCTGGGATGCGGGGACATCTTCAGTACCTCTCTCTTGGACATAATCAAAGCATTAATAATACACTCAGTGCAAATCCAAGCGGTGACATCACTGCATGGGGAAACCCACGGACAGAGAGGACCCAGACATCATTCTCCTCGTGGCTTGAGGACTCGGCTAGGACTGCTAGAAATCGTGGCAAATTCATATCTGGTACTTTTTCTGCTTGGTGACCACCCAGGTGGGTCTAAGGATAAGTAGTGGAGGAAGTTAACCCTCCTCTTTGTAGAGCTGGGGAAACTGAGGACCAGAGAGGTCAAGCAACTTGCCCCAAATCACACAGCCAGGAAGGAGCAGAACCACAACCCAGACCCAGGCTTACTGGCTGCAGCCGCCATTCTCTGTCTGACCCTCCAGGCAGCCTCCACCTGATAATTTAATGCTTGGCACAAGCTGGAGACCTTGGCTTGCCTGTGGGGGTCTGTAGGGAGCATTTCCTTCTGCCTCCGAGCTGCCAGCGGGGCTCCTACGAAGGCAGGCACAGCATGAGAAGGGGGTGGGAGCAAGCTGCCGTCAGTGGCAGCAGGGAAGTGGCTCCCAGAGGGGCACAGGCGGGCTGGCTGGCAGCTTGACTGCCTATCTGGGCCCAGGAAAGATGTGGGGGTGGTGTTCTTGCTCGACAAGGCGTGACATTAGGAACAGAAGATATCTGGGACATGGGGTAGTGGAATTAAATGAGGACAGGTTTCTCGAATCCTTGCCATCAGCTCGGCAGTCTTAAAGTGCAGTGTGAAGCTTTGGTTTCAATGGCTGTGCAACCTTGGGCAAGTCACTTAACCTCTCTGAGCTTTGGAGTCTTCACCTGCCAGGTGCTTGTAAGAAGCCAGGGAGATGACAAGGCATACAGAGGATGCAGCAGCTGGCAAGGCCCTGGTCATGTGTCTTACCTGGCCAGGCCTGCTGTGCTACGAGCATTCACTGCAACCTGACTGGGCAAAAGCAGTGCCTGGTAATTATTGCATAGCTTGGGGGCAATGTAATGAGATGGCCATGGTGACATAAGGAATCGTAACTGGAAGCCACATATTAGCTCCTGGGGACATGGTCTCATTGCTTGCACTCACAGGAAGTAATTACGGTGGAGTTTCAGGGTGGTGCAAAAGGGTTGAAGCCACTTCTCAGGAGCCAGATGACCTGGAGGAGCCTGCCCTGGCCAGGTGAAATACCCTAACCTCCTCCTGAGCCCATCTCCAGCCAAGGATTTGGAATACCCAAGACGCCAGTCAACAGCCCCTAGCCTGCTGCCCCAGGTGGACCCTACTGAAAAGGTCCCTCTAGCCCACTGCCACTTCTCCAAGACTGTGTCAGGGAACCGCTCTCCCCAGGCCCCCGACCCAAGTCCTCTGCGGAAACACTCAGCATAGACAGGGATGGAACTCGGACTCCCGCCAAACCCAGCACCCAGCGCCGCCCTGTGCGGGGGAGGCACGCAGCCACGAACCGGTGACTGAACCAACGACAAGCAATAAGGCCGAAGAAGAAAGCAGGTGCCGATCACCGAGGCCTGGCATGTGAAGCGGGGGAGTTCGGATGCATCCTGAGGGCAGCCGTGCGGGGGTGCGGGGGGCGCTCCCTTCCCTGGTAGGGACGGGGTGCAGCCATCTCCTGAAATCAGAATCCCTGGGCCCGACGTCACGTGCCCGTTGGGGACGACTCTGCCTCCGGAGGCGGTTGACACTGCAAATGTGTCTGACATGTTTGTTGACACATTTTTTTGTCAGCACCAACTGCCAAAGCATCTGGGATCTGCACAGCGTTTCGAAACAAAGCCGTGCTTCGAATGTAAACACACCCGCCGCGCAGGCCCGGGCTGCAAAGGGGCCCTCAGACACCTTCCGCAGGACGCGGTTCCTCGACAGCTGCCCGAACCCGCCCTGAACCTGCCCGCCACTGGAGGCAAGCATGTCCCCAGCCTCTCCCACGCAGGGCACGCCTATCCACAAAGAGGGAAGTTGGCTTTTCTCCTGTTATCTTTTCAACTCTGCTGGTAAGGCTGGAGGAAAGTTTTAAGGCCAGGGATTCAGTTTCTGGCCAGGATTGGGCGTTGCTTCCTCCTGCCTTTCTTAGAATCCTTTCGTAAGTCCCACTCTGCGCCGATGGAAAATTCTCCAGCGATACTCGGGGCTGGCGAGGATGTGGAGCACCTGGAACTCTCACGCACGGCCGGCGGGGGTGGAAACCAGCACAACCCATGTGGAAAACCGTCCGGCAGCGTCCGCTGGAGCTGCAAGTGCGCACACTGTGGCCAGCGGTCCCACTCCTGGCTTTGTGTCCCACGGGAAAGCATGAACGTGTTCGCCAACAGACACACGCTCAATGGCTCCCAGCAGCAGTGCTCGCCAGAGCCCCAGACTGGGACCGTCCACGTGCTCAGCAGCAGCAGAACGGGCAGGCTGAGTGCGGCGTGCTCGCACAGGGGATACTGCAGAGCCACGAGACCCCCTCATCTGCGGCCACACACAATAAGGACACGGTTTCGAGTTAAATAAGCCAAACAAGATAAAGAGTACTCACTTTGCAATGCCACTTACGTGGCCACAAACAACAGGAGAAACGCATCTGTCTGTTTTCTAACAGGGGCTGTGGTCTGCCTGATTTGGCTGGGGGAAATAGTAGCTGTGTGGGGCGCGATTTGAGTCCCTGTTACAATCCCTTCATTCTCGTCGGGGGCAAAACCATCTCACCCTGTTACCATACAAAGCACAGACTTCAGTGCAACGGCATACCTGTGTGCCGTGGCTGCAATTAGAGCTCCGAGAAGATGCCACACCCTCATCCCATCCCTGGGACCGTGAACATGTCACACGGCAAAAGGGACTTGGCTGATGTATAGTAATTAAGGTTCCTAATCGGTTCAGATAGGGAGATTAATCTGCAATCCCAGTGCAACCACACGAGCCCTTAGTAGCAGGCGTAGGAGAGGAAGACAGAGAAGGACTCAGCCGCTAGCTTGAAGATGGAGGGGCCACGTGGAAACAGAATGAAACGAATTTGCCACCAACCTTAACGAGCCCAAGGCAGATTCCCCACCAGACCCTCCACCTGAGAGCCCAGGTGGGTCACCTCGTTGATTTCAGCTTTGAGAAGCCTCAAGCTGAGTACCCAACTGGGCCCAGCAGGCTCCCAGCCCACAAAGACTGCGAGACATTACGTGGGTGTTGTTCTAAACCATTAAGTTGTGGTGATTTGCCGTGGTAGCAACAGAAAACTAATAAGGTGATATTAAAAGATGGGGAACAGGGCCAGGCGCGGTGGCTCAGGCCTGTAATCCTAGCACTCTGGGAGGCCGAGGCGGGCGGATTGCTCGAGGCCAGGAGTTCGAAACCAGCCTGAGCAAGAGCGAGACCCCGTCTCTACTATAAATAGAAAGAAATTAATTGGCCAACTAATATATATAGAAAAAATTAGCCGGGCATGGTGGCGCATGCCTGTAGTCCCAGCTACTCGGGAGGCTGAGGCAGAAGGATCGCTTGAGCCCAGGTGTTTCTGTGAGCTAGGCTGACGCCACAGCACTCATTCTAGCCTGGGCAACACAGCGAGACTCTGTCTCAAAAAGAAAAATAAAAAATAAATAAATAAAAGATGGGGAACAGTTAGGAAAATAATGTCACCCCCAGCTTCTTAACAGCATAATAATGAAAAAAAAATTCAAGAAACACCAGTGACATGGGAAAATCCGTTGAGCGTGCGTTCGGGCTGCATGCACATGCGTGCGTGCTATACTTCAGTGTGACCACGCAATGGCTTTCCGCCTTGGTCAGGCGGAAAGCCATTGGTAGAAACTGGTCTTCTACCAAAAGGGTTCTCGTTGGGTGAATGTGCCCCCCAGGGGACACTTGCCCATGGCTGTAGGCAATTTTGGTTGTCACAACAGAGGGAGGGGGTGCTGCTGGCATCTAGCGGGTAAAAGATGTTGCTAAACACAACACACGGGACACACCTTCACAGTAAGGAATAATCTGGCCCCAGATGTCAAAAGTACCGAGGTGGAGAACCGTAGTCTAGCGGGCATGTAAACGCTGTGTCCCTCACTAAGCACACAGGAGGGTGAAACAAAACGAAACAAGACAAAGGGCCGGGTCCCCTTGCTGCTACTCCGGTCCTCCTCGGAGCCCTCCCTGCTGTCTGCTCCTGCCGATGCCGCCCTCCCGCTGCCCTGTTCTCCTGGCTGGGCCCACTCCTGACCCACCACCTATCAGACCTTCCTCTCCTCCAGCTCTCAGCTCAAACGTCACTTCTCTGGGAAGTCCTTCCCGCCCTCCATCCCCCGAATAGTTCAGCTCCTGTGGGTTCATTCTCAGCACCTCCATTGGCTGTGTGGCCTTGGGCAAATACTTAGCCTCTCTGGGCCCCAGTTTCTGCATCTGCAAAATGGGGATAACAAGAGTACTTGCTTGGGGACTTGTCAACATTGCAGCTGTAACGTGCCACACACAGTGTTGGGTACATATTATACTCTTCTTAAACACTACCCATCATTACCATCATTATTTTACGCCCACACAGCAGTGCCTGTCTTATCTGCAGGACTCGATACGGTTGCTGTGCTCTATTAGGTGTCTGGTTAATGGACTGGCTCCACGGGGATGGGACACTGTGTTCTCGCCCACCAAGGCATTCCAAGTGTCTGTCACATAGTATGGTCCCGATAAATACTTATGGAATGAAAGAATAAATGAATAGAGTGTTTCCAAGGTCACCCAAGAGATTCTGTGCATGGCCGTGAGCACATCTGGTCTTTAGTCTGAGTAACCCGGAGACGTACCACGTTCTGAGGCTGTTGGATGAGCTTCGCCAGGGCGGGGTGGCTGTAGCCTGGGGAGAGGACGGAGTGTCAGACATCAACATCACATCCGGGGGCACCCAGCCCTGCCCCCCTTCCTGCCCAACCCTGCAACTCTCTTCACTCCGCAAAGGATCTTTTGTCCTTTGCAGACAAGGAGAGATTCCTGGGCCCCACCCAAGGGCCCTGACTCAGAATCTCTTCAGGAGCAGCCCAGAAGCCTTCACCAAATGCTCTACCACATTCTGAGGCTTGCTCAGGTTTGAGAGCTCCTGGATTAGATAGACACAGAGGAGATAAATGCAAGGTCAAAGCAATGTCACGACTAGGGCTGGGGTGTGGATCAGCAGTGAAGAGTTGCAAAGACAGTCCTCGACTTCTCCAGAGCTCACTGGCTGAGTCAAGTCTCAGTAAATGTTTGCTCAGGGACTGAGTGGGCGGGTGACGCCACCTGCAACCTGCAGCCAGCAGGCCTCCCGCTGCGCTTGCCTACTCCCCAAGGCCATCTGCATTCACTGGGCCGGGGCTGATGTTGCACTATGAGGCTTAGGGCACGCTTTGATGTAGCAATTGCTCTCCTACCAATTTGTCTCACAAATGTGTGTAAAGACCTATGTACATGGGTCTTAATTATGACACTCCAATATGTCAAGACTTGAAAGCAATGTAACGTCCATCAATGGCAGGTCCGAGGAAATAAACTAAGATTTATCCACACGATGAAAGCCTTCTCCTGTGACTGTGCAGCTGCAGAAGAGGATGAGACAGATTTATTTGTGCTGAGTTAGAATAATCTCTGATATCTGCTCAGTAAAAAGGGGGACATTTGATATATATGTATGTACACTTATATATGCACTGAATGTCTCTAGAAGAGACCAATAAGTATGGTTGCTTCTGGGAGGAGAACTGGGGACATGGCTCAGGCTTGGGAATGACACTGGTTCCGTCCACCCCATTAAAAAATTTTTGTTTTTTTTTTTGAGACAGAGTCTTGCTTTGTTGTCCAGGCTAGGGTGAGTGCTGTGGCGTCAGCCTAGCTCACAGCAACCTCAAACTTCTGGGCTCAAGCGATCCTCCTGCCTCAGCCTCCCGAGTAGCTGGGACTACAGGCATGTGCCACCATGCCCGGCTGATTTTTTCTATATATATTAGTTGGCCCATTAATTTTTTTCTATTTATAGTAGAGACGGGGTCTCGCTCTTGCTCAGGCTGGTTTCGGACTCCTGACCTCGAGCAATCCGCCCGCCTCGGCCTCCCAGAGTGCTAGGATTACAGGCGTGAGCCACCACGCCCGGCCCCCATTAAAATTTAACAAAAAATTTTTAAAAGTTAACTTAGAAGGCTTATTCTGTAGTCACAGTAGATTTTAGTAAGATTGTTTTCGTCTTCTAGGGCCTTTTTTGAAGACACACTCTACGATTATATCACGTGTTGGCTTCCTGAGCAAGAACTCAAAAATGTTGCCTATGATAAAATCAAGAATCTTGGAGTAGGAAGTCAACTTTAGAGAAAAACTCCCAATCTTTAAGTATCACACACCTTGTACCTAGTTTCTATAAATACATTTACTTTGAAAGAGACTTTGTATCACTGTGGTCCGAGGCTGAATGCAGCAGGAACAATCCGTATGTTGCTGGCACGAGGCTCCAGTCCTGGGGCCCGACCTGCTGCCGCAGTAAGATATGAGCAAGTGTAGACAGCTGTGAGAGACCCAGCACTGGCTGGGCACAGTGGCTCACACCTGCAGCCCTAGCACTCTGGGGGGCGGAGGCAGGAGGATCGCCGGACCATGAGATTAAGGTTGCAATGAGCAAAGATGATGCCACCACACTTTAGCCAGAGTGACAGATGAGACACAGTGTCAATAAACAAAAACAAAAAGGGAAAGAAAGAAACACCCTCACAAAGACTACAAGCATGAAATGAAAGGTGGCCAGGGAGATGCTTTTAGAACTTCAAGTCTTTTAACAAATGCTGCCCCCCACCCCCGTGCTGGCTGGCTGGGGCGGCCCTGGGGAGGGGCTCACAGTCCCACCGCTGCTGTATGGTGGAGGCAGGATTTGAACCCAGGGTAAATTGGGAGCCAGTCCCTTCCACTCCAACCCAAAGGGGAGATGGGGTTTTGCAAATCTTTGAATCTACAATGCTGTTCAGAGGCAGAGGCATCCCTGAATGATGGACTTCCCCGAAAGAATGAGCCATCTGCCTACTGTCTGATTGCATCTTAATGGAAACAAACAGGTTTGAGGAAATGTGCCGGGGGACATCAAGGAGGAGGAGACACCCAGGGCTGGGTCAGGGAAGGCCTCAGGCTGGGTGGGGGAGAGAGTGAGGGGAGCAAGGACACCTTGTCCCCTCTGCGACAGAGGAGCCAGCACCCTCTGCGAAGGGACAGGCTTCAGGCCGGTGGATGCGGCCAGGAATCGATCAAGCAAAGAAACATTAGCCATGCAAGCTGCAAATAACAGCTTCCTGCGTTTCCTAGTCAGCCCTGTCTGCCACAGCCCGCCCAGGAGCCCTCTGCCCTGCACGGCTGGGGGCTGCTGCCTCCATGGCGTCCCACGAGGTCAATTCCGCAGGGCGGGTCATCGCCCGTCTCCCAGTTGCTGAGTGTGTTGGCTGATAGCGGCTGCAGCTGCCTCGCGTCGGGAAAACCAAGGGAAGCCGCTCTGCCTCAGAGACCACACACGTCCTCCCCTCCGGCAGCTGGTGGGCGCCGGCTGGCTGGCACAGGGGCAGCAAAAGGCCGGGCCCTTTCCCTCTGTCTGGGACCACGTCTGGGTGCAACTCACACTCCAGAGCCGCTGTGCCGTCAGGCTGTGGACAGTCTCCAGCTGACACTTCATCCTTTTTGTCTTCTTCCCTCTGCCCTAGGCTGTTTCCTTCCTCCCTTTTCTCCCGACTGCTCTGCCCCTGCAAACAACGTTCACAACAATCCCCGACTCAGGCCCTTTCCAGGAAACCCAACCTAAGACACGTAAATTGTGGGCACTGTGGTCGCACGGACTTGGGGCCATGTCCTGGCCGATTCCTCTGCGAGCTACTCAGCCTCTCCAAGCTTTCTTTACTCATCTGCAAAATGGGCCTGTTAATGCACACTGTCTTGCAAGGTTTTGGGGAGGAGGAAATGAGAGGAGACTTGTAATGTGCCTCATAAGGTACCCTGCACACGTTACTTGTTCTTCTCCCTGCCCTTGAAGGAGGTGTCTGGGAGGAGCATCTAAAGCCGGGACGGCCACAACTATGAGAGAGAGAGAGAGAGAGAGAGAGAGAGAGAGAGAGAGAGAGAGATCACACTCAAGGCCGCGTTTCCAGCTCTCACCAATGGGCACAGAGGAGATCTGTGAATACAGGTCCAGCATCCGGTTGCCATCCACATCGACCAGGTAGTTGCCTCGGCTCTCTTCATAATTGCAGAAAAAATGCACAGCCTCTGCGTTCTTGGGGAGAGAAGAGACCGACTCAGCCTTGCTACAACTCCCTGCATTCTCAGTCTGTTCAACATGAAGCTTGAATTGGCGAAGTAAGCCGTGTCCTGCCGTCCTGTGGGCACGTGGGAGTGGGCGTGGGGGCTGCCGATGTTGTGCTTCCTGCTCTGGGGTAATTACACGGGTGGTTTGTTTTGTAATAGCTCATCAAGCTGTGATTTTATATTTCGCTGACTTTTCTGTCTATGTTTTCTATATCAGAACAAAAAGGTCGAGATACAGATCTGAAGCAGATTCTGAGAAGCTAAGCTATATGGTCATTACCTACAGGGTGCAACAGACACTACTTTGGTGACGGGTACACTGACAGCCCAGACTCCACCACTGTACAACGTGTACATGTAACTGAATTCAACTTGTACCCCCTAAACCTATTTTTTTTTAAATAATATATATGGTAAGCCTTAGAGCAACCACTAAGGAAACTAAAAATATATAGTAATCATTAAAGAAACAAAAATGTTACACTAGAAAATATTTACCTAATGCAAAATAAAAACAGTAAAAGAGGGACAAAAGACACCCAAGATATACAGTGACCAAAAGGTAAAATGGCAGGTGTAAACACAACCATATCAATGACATTAACTGAGAATGGATTCCAATCAAAAGTCAGAGATTGTCCTACTGGATAAAAAGAACCAACTACCTGCTGTTTATAGCAGACGTACTTTTGATTCAAGAATATAAACACGTTGAAAATAAAAGGATGGAAAAAGTTGCTGTGTGATGCACACAGCAGGCATGAGAAAGCTGGACAGGTTTATACTACTACCAGACTATAGACTATAAAAACAGACTATAAAACGAAACTGCTAGTGATAACGAGAGATGTTATATAATGATAAAAGGGTCAATCCAGAATGCAGGACAATTGTAAACGTATTTGTACCTAACAACAGAGCCCCAAACTATATGAAGCAAAAAGGGACAGAGTTAGAGAGAAAAACGGTTGTGCAATAATAGCTGGAGACTTCAATACCTGGCATTCAGCAATGGGTTGGAAAACTAGGCAGGGGATTAGCAAGGAAACAAAGGCTTGAACAACGCTATACAAGCAATCAGACCCGACAAACCTCCACACACTCATTCCATAGCCGCAGAATACACACTCCTCAAGTACACACAGAACATTCTCTAGGCTGGACCATGTGCTAGCCCATCAAAGAAAGCTCAATAAATTTAACAGGATTGAAATCACACAAAATGTGTTTGCCAACCACAGTGGAATGAAACCAGAAATCAATAACAGAAAGAAATTTTGGAGATTTACAAAAATGTGAAAATTAAACAACACATAAATCGCCAATGGGTCAAAGAAAAAAATCACGAGGAAATTTAGAAAAAAGGGTTTAGAACAAAAGTCAACTACATTTTTTTTTTAAAGAGCCAGAACAGAGGAAGCATCTGTCCCTGAGCTAACTGTGATAAAGGAACAACAGAAGGATGTCACTGAGTCACCACTTACCTGAATCATATTCAGCTGTTTCATTAACTCCTGCCGGCAAGAAGAACAAAAGCATTAACAGCAAGTGCACACTCTTGCCAAACAGTTTAAAATCATTCATGTAGTCCCAAGTCTTGGCATTTTTTCTCTTTTGTCAATAAATTAATAGTTTATTAGTCAACAATATTGCACATATTTTAAGAATTACTTAATATAAATAGTTGACAGGAAACTATTCCATTACACAGGTAAATTATCAGTACAACAGACTGGATATTTAGATACCTGGAACTTAATAATATAAATATTGGCCGGGCGTGGTGGCTCACACCTGTAATCCTAGCACTCCGGGAGGCCGAGGCAGGTGGATCGCTCGAGGTCAGGAGTTCAAAACCAGCCTGAGCGAGAGCGAGACCCCGTGTCTACTAAAAATACAAAGAAATTAATTGGCCAACTAAAAATATATAGAAAAAATTAGCTGGGCATGGTGGCGCATGCCTGTAGTCCCAGCCACTCGGGAGGGTGAGGCAGGAGGATCACTTAAGCACAGGAGTTTGAGGTTGCTGTGAGCTAGGCTGACGCCATGGCACTCTAGCCCAGGGAAGAGAGTGAGACTCTGACTCAAAAAAAAAAAATATATATAAATATTTAGCAAAAAAATTAAGCTGAAGGAGTTTAGTATCCCTAAAAAGATAGGTTCTCTTTTCTATTTAGAAAAGTAAAAAGACTTTAACACCCCATTAGGAATATAAAACACTGAAAATATTAATTTGCATATCACAGAACCATTTATAATTACAATCCAATCATTCCATAAACCACTTGTAAAATTCTATGCAGACACTGGGAATTAGAAACTAGTCACTTTGATAATACAAAGATTCCAGCTCCATAAATAAGTCAATGTAAAATAAGCTTTAGTAATTATATTTCCATATAAAAATACAGAATATTAATGGCATGAATATTAAAAGTTATTTCATAATTTTACTATGGTTAAATTAAAATCCACTCCTACAATGGAAATTTGCTTGAAGGAAAGTCTCCCTTTTTGTTAGCAAAACATGATCCCAAATAACTGTGAATATAATCATTTACAATACTACAAAGATTTCTGGATTTATAAAATAGTTGCAATGACAAAACTGAGGTTTTGTGGTTGTGTGTTATGCAGCGTTATTGTGACAACAGATAACTGATACATCTGCTCTGCGAACCCTTCTTTGATGCCGTACAGCAGAACGGCCTAGTTTTTAACATACCGGATCTCTAGTAGTGAACTCTCTGCAAGCAGCTAACAATACATGCTGTGTTCTCCTCTCCTAAGCCCCTTTCTCCCTTTTCCAAAGCGCACCACTCAGGGGGCCTCCACTCACCTGAGACCTAGGCCCCGGGACTTCTGTCTTCATCAGAGGCCCATCGTAATCAAACTCAATATCGACTTTGGCTGCGGCTTGACTGATCTGTCTGGATCCTGCAGGAAACAGAGACAGTGACAACCCCTGGTGATGGCAGATACGAGGATTCTGCTGTCCCTAACAGAGGTGGTGCCAGGGTCTCAACCCCATCCCAGCCAAACCACCCGAGAACACTGGTCTGGACAGACTTGAGCACTACAAGGACACTGCAGATTTAAAAACCAGGGAAACCCAGTGTTGGTGAGGTTACAGGCAAACAGGCACGCTCCTGTTTTATTGGTATGAGTATAAGCTGATGCCAACCTCCTAGTCCTTTCTACTGAGCAATTTTGTTATTTAGGATTCATCTCAGGAAAAAAATGGGAGCAGTGCACAAAGATGTAGGTCAAAAATATTCACTGTAGTAGTGTCTATATAAGACCGAAGAGGAAACAATGTCTAACACTGGCGAGTAGCTAAGTAGCATACGACACAGTCAACCATTTTGTGGAGTATTGTACGACCACTGTTTTGAGATCAAAATTTTGAATATTTATGGACATGGAAAGATGCCCATGGGGTTATCATGTGAAAAATAAGTTTGTAAAAATTATTGAAATGTTGTAGGCTGGGTGCAGTGGCCCACGCCTATAATCCTAGCACTCTGGGAGGCCGAGGTGGGTGGATCATTTGAGCTCAGGGGTTCAAGACCAGCCTGAGCAAGACCGAGACCCTGTCTCTACTAAGAAATAGAAAGAAATTAGCTGGAGAACTAAAAATATATATATATAAAAAAATTAGCCGGGCATGGTGGCACATGCCTGTTTAGTCCTAGCTACTTGGGAGGCTGAGGCAGAAGATTTCTTGAGCCCAGGAGTTTGAGGTTGCAGTTAGCCACTATGATGCCACTGCACTCTAGCCCAGGTGACAGAGCGAGACTGTCTCAAACACCAAACTGAACCAAGATAAAATAATTTTTTGTAGAGATGGGGTCTCGGTATGTTGCCCAGGCTGATCTTGAACTCCTGGGCTCAAGCAATCCTCCCACTTCGCCTCCCAAAGTGCTGGGATCACAACGTGAGCCATTGCACACAGTCAGTTTTCTTAGATCTTTTATATCAAGTCACACGAGCAGAGAGATGTCCAGTGTGCATTGAGCACTTAGGGTGAACATACCAGGAATTATCCTGAGCGATTAATGTGGCTTATCTTGTTTAAATCTTATAGCCCCCATGAGATAAATGTTATCATTCTCTTGTTACAGAAAAAGACATTGAGGCTCAGGGAGGTTAATTCATTTGCCCAAGATCACACAGCTAGCAACTAGTTAAACTAGAAATTTACCCATCTGACTTCTACCTAGATCCTGTGAATGTGCCTGATGCTATCTTTGATCTCATCTAGTGCCGGCCTTTGAAAGGAACATTTGCAGCAAAACACCTCGCTTCCCCTAAAGGCAAATTACTATCAAAAGAATAGAGATGCAGGAAAAAAAATATGGAATGATCTAGCATTTTCGTTCAAGAATAAAATAGCACACCCAGAAGGCCAGGGTGTGTCACTGACACAGAAGACGGGACACAGTGAGCAAACCATGATGGTCACAACCTTCATGGCCACACCAATCCAGAGCCTATTTTTAACTCCAAACTATAAAGCAGCCAGCAAACATTTTTAATGTCCTCTTGATATTTACACTGAGAGTAATAAATGAGTGTCATGTTCCTAGTCAGCAAAGGTTCCTTAAGTGAGCCTGGCTGAAGTCAATGTAAAGTCCAACTGGAGCTGTTTGCCCTGCTTTTCTGTTAAAGAAAAAAATCTGATCTGCCTCTGCAACTGTCCTTCCCATTTATTTTTATTTATTTATTTATTTATTTATTTATTTATTTATTTATTTATTTTTTGAGACAGAGTCTCGCTTGTTGACCAGGCTAGAGTGAGTGCCGTGGCGTCAGCCTAGCTCACAGCAACCTCAAACTCCTGGGCTCAAGCAATCGACTACAGGCATGCGCCACCATGCCCGGCTAATTTTATATATATATTAGTTGGCCAATTAATTTCTTTCTATTTATAGTAGAGACGGGGTCTTGCTCTTGCTCAGGCTGGTTTTGAACTCCTGACCTCGAGCAATCCGCCCGCCTCAGCCTCCCAGAGTGCTTATTTATTTATTTTGAGACAGAGTCTCACTCTGTTGCCCAGGCTAGAGTGAGTGCCGTGGCATCAGCCTAGCTCACAGCAATCTCAATCTCCTAGGCTCAAGCAATCCTGCTGCCTCAGCCTCCCAAGTAGCTGGGACTACAGGCATGTGCCACCATGCCTGGCTAATTTTTTTTTTGTATATATATTTTTAGTTGGTCAATTAATTTCTTTCCATTTTTACTAGAGACAGGGTCTCCCTCTTGCTCAGGCTGGTTTCGAACTCCTGACCTTGAGCGATCTACCTGTCTCGGCCTCCCATTTCCCATTTATTTTTGATAACATGATCATTGAGGAAGAGACCAACAAGCAACATGGAAAAAAAAAAACACTTTTAATTTTCTACCCAGAGATAACCACTTTGATGTCTAGTTCTAGTCTCCCGGTCTCTTACCTTCTTTACCAATGTAAGATTATAACTGAGGGGCGGGGGAGGGCATGAACAATGCCATTGGGAACATTATCTTGGGCCATTGTCCGTCATGTTTAATGGCTTTATTGTGACTCGAAGGGTGCAGGCACCCCAGGACGTGGGTGTGGTAGCACGACATGCCTTCCGTGTTGGGTACCTGCTCCTGCTCTGAAGAAGCAGTTGCCACTTGTGAGCTGCCCTGCAAAGGGGCCCACACATCAAGGAACTGAGAGTAGCCTCTGGCCAACAGCCCTAAGGAACTGAATCCAGCTACAGCCACATGAGTGACCTTGGAGGCCAGTCCTCCAGTCCCTAGTTGAGCCTTCAGATGAGACCGCAGCCCAGGCTAACAGCTCAACTGCACCCTTGTGACAGATCTGGAGCCAGAGGACCCAGCTGAGCCATCCCTGGTTTCCTGATCCCCAGAAACTGCGAGACAAATGTATCATCTTAAGCTGCTACGTTTGGGGGCGTTTGTTATGTGGCAACAGATAACCCCTACACTGGTGCAGGTGCTGCAGCCAGACTGGCCTCACCCAATGCCTGGCTCAGCCAGTGGCTGGCTCTGTGACTCTGGAAAGTTAGTTTATTTCTCTGGGTCTCAGTTTTCTTTGCCTTATGGTACAGAAAGTGTTCAGGACTAAATGGGTTAAAAGTAAGCATTTAACCATCATTTCTAAGCTATTCTCCTGTTGCTGCTTATGCCAGATATGCCAAATCAATACGCCAAAAGAAAAGAAAAAAAATTCACTGCATGGTTGTCTAAATCTGGCACAAGTGTGCCAAAAAAGATCCAACTCCAGCCAAGTAAATAGAGAGGAAAGAAACTCTGTGATTTAGCAATTTTCTTTTCTTTCTTTCTTCTTCTTCTTTGCATCGCACTTCTATTTCCATGCTTGCAAAATGTGAGTTAGGATACTTCCCACCTTCATAAACATAAACCAAGTGCTTCCACTTCCGATGCAAGAAATCTGTGAAGTAGGAAGGGTGCTATTATTATCTCTTATTATCTCCACTTTTCTGCTGAGAAAACGGAGGCTGGAGATGGTCTGTCCCTTGCTGAGGCTCAGGTGGCCAACAGGGGGTGAAGCCAGTAGCCTAACTGTATGAGTCTTCATCTACTGCTCTTTCCACGTTGTCTACTGGGAGGGCGCAGACGTCCTTCAGAATGACCTCCAAGGATGGTGCCAGGTGTGGCCCAGGCTCGCGCACTGCCCGCAAGGGCTGCGTCTCTTTCTTCACTGGCCCCTCCGTGGCACCCAGCACGGCGTGGGGCAGGTGACGGGCGCGCAACAGCATTCGCTGTGGAACGCAGGCCTCTCCCGTGCCGAGGGCTCTCTCCAACCCGGGACTCACCGTTCTTGCATCTTTCCAGTTCTGGTTTATTTTAACCTAATTACGAGTTAACACCGGTATGCTTCTCTCATGAGCAAAACAAAAACAGAACCTCCAAAGCTGTTTGCTCCCATCTCCTCAACACTATCAAGGTCAAGAAGAATACGACTGAGAAACTGTCACAGTCCAGAGACCAGGGGAAACGTGACAAGTAAACACAATGGATCCCCGGACAGAAAAAGACAGCAAGGGGGAAACTGGTGAAATCTGAATAGAAGCCAGGAGTTTGGTTAATGATAACCAGGGGCAGTTTCTTAGTTTCGACAAACGCGCTGTGGTGACGGTAAGATGTTAACAATGGAGGAAACCGGTGAGTGCCATATGGGTCTCTCTGTGCTGTCTTTGCAACTGCTCACTAAATCTAAAGCTATTCCAAAATAAAATGTTTATTTTAAAATAAAGCCTGGGAGTGGGAAAACACTCCTACTCTTTATCCCGCCCAGGACATAAACACCAGCATTTGATGTGCATGCCAAGGACACGGCTAGCAGTTTGTCTTCAGAAGGCAGACGTTTCCTATAGCAAAGGGACACCGCGGTGACAGCTACGGGGCCCTGAGAGAGCTGGAGACACACTGGCAGCTCATTGGTCTTTCTAAGCCTAGAAAGGCCAGAGGCCAGAGCCAGGACTGCTCATGTCTCCGCAGGAGGCCGATCTCGGGGTGTCCGTAGATAGGAGGCTCCTGTTAGCCACTCTCTGTCCCAGAGCCACATGGGGGGACAGCGAGGGAGCTTAAGAACTCAGCATTTGGAGCCAGATGGGCTTGCATTCAAGGGGCTGCGTTGATCTTGGGCAGATAACTCTGCTTCTCTGAGAGTCAGTTTTCTCACCTGTAAAGTGGTATTCACTTGAGTCTCCCTTGTGGGACTCGGGCAGGTCTTGCTGAGGTCATGCGATCAGGGCTCAGTTAGCCATGCTGCCTGAGAGGCGCAGAACAACGAGCCCACCTGAGACCCCAGGAAGGAGCCAGCAGGTGGCCAGTGGGTGTGGGGTAAGGGGATGAGGGAGGGGGCATTCCTGGGACAGTACCTCCTGACCGTGCCTGGGAAGCACAGCTGGCCTTTAGGGTTGGCGGTGCCTCCAGCTGTGTGTCCTCCCCAACAGTTCCTGTGAGCATGGCCTGGGCCCTTCTGGCTACAGAGGCCACCACCTACCCACTGGCAGAGCGGCTGTGGGACGGATCAGCTCCCTGTCCCCTGCACACCTGTCTGCCAGGGACAAGAGCAGATGGCAGAGATGGGCAGTGGGAAGGGGATGGCCTCGGTGACAGTCTTATGGGGGACAGTGGCACAGCTCTGGGGGCACTGGCCGTCGGTCCCTTTATCCCCAAGGACTCTTCCAGCCCAGGAATCCCCGGTCTGGGTTGTGTCTCCCATCAGCACCTGTTCTTGCCAAGTCCCCCGGGGCTTACCTGGCGCCCGCAGGCGGTGGCTGTGTGGGAAGCGGCAGGCCAGCCGCCGGGCGAGCAGCATGGAGGCCATGACCCCTTCCTCCAGGCACCGAGGACCCCTCCCTCGCTGCCGCCCTGAAAGAGACCAGAAACACAGACTCAGGCCCGCGAAGCCCACTCCCCAGCCGGCCGGGCGTCCCTTCCGCCACCATTTCCCACCTAACGGAGAAGATTCTTTGAACTCAAATCCTTGGCTTTTATGCCGAATAATAATAATAAAAAAAGTATATTCAACCAAAGAGTATATTATAAGCAAACACATACTTTAAATTAGATGCATTTTCAAGTAACCTTTACCGCACCCCAGGGAGGACTGTCACACCCATTTAAATGGAAAAAAACAGAGAAAGGGACAGAGTTGGGTTCAGACCCCTGGAAGCAAGAGCAAGTCTGTGCTCTCTGGGATGGAAGGACTCAGACGGGAGAAACTTCGCAGCAAACCTCTTGGCAGCCACTCGCTGTGGGAAGCGGGGGTCCCTCCGCTCTGTTCTCCCATGGAATACAGCCCCTAGGCTGTCGGGGAGTCCACGGCAGCCAGGGGCCCACTCTGGGGGTACAGAGCCCAGGCACCACCAAGCGTCCCTGTCTGCTCAGGACTGCGAGGTTCCAGGATGTGGCACTTTCCATTTTGAAGCCAGGACGGTCCCAGGCAAGTTGGGACGGCCACCTTCCACAAGCCCAGAGCGGCGGGGCCCTCGGCTGCCATTTCTCTTTGTGTTCGCCCTCTCAAGCCGCCTCTGCATCTTGCCCTCAAGTCCCCGGGCCCTGGCTCCTGTTTGTCTCGTGGGCCTGGAGCACCCACACCCAACAGTTTGTTTCTTTCCACGGCCTCTCCCGCTCCCTGTCCCCTCTCCCCAGGCCACCGTCCAAATGCGTTCTCTGTGGATCTTTCTTCTAAACACCTGTTTTGTTATTTGGCACGTGTATTTTTAGTTTGCATAAACAGCGCTGCATCATCCAATAATGATGGAGCCATTCACGTGTCTTTTCCTCTGTGGCCCCTGTTTCCTGAGCCCTGTGTGCCACATGCCGTATACACAGTACTACGAATATCTAATTACTCTTATCGTTAACTCCCGCAACAATGCTATGTGGTCTCCTTTTTACAGGTAAGGAAACTGAGGCACAGAGAGATTAAGGGGTGCATCTCAAAACCACACAGATCCAGGTGTTAGCCAAGTCCTCCACCATGCGATACAAGTCCAAACGCTCCACAGAAGTCTGTCCGTTTGTTCCGCAGCACGCTGGGCACCGACGTACCGAGTACTGTTTCTCAGGCTGGACAAACAGGGGTGAATGCCACGGGCATGGACACGACGTGCCCATGGGGAACAAAGACAATGAAAAGAATGAACACGAACAAGGACAAAATTATGGTTGGAGAAAGTGCCTTGAGGGTCAAGTAGGAGGTGCCAGGAGTGTGGTTTGTGAAGCCCCCTCTATGCACTGCAAGAACACGCACAGCAGGCACGAGTATCCCCATTTTACAGATGAGGACACTGAGGCTCAGATGTGATTTAACCAGTGTTCACTGCAGCATTATTCACAGTAGCCAAGAGGTGGGAGCAATCTCGCTCTCCGCTGACAGAAGACTGGGGGGAAATGTGGTTTGGCCACACAGGGGAATATTATCTGGCCTTAGAAAGAAGCAGCTCCTGTCATATGCTGCAACGCGGATGAACCCGGGGCACAGGAAGCCCAGTGAAATGAGCCAGGTGCAGAAGGTCTAACACTGTGTGACTGCTCTTATACGAGGTATCTAAAGCAGTCAGCCTCTTAGAGAGAGGAATGGTGGTTGCCAGGGGGAGGAGAAAAATGAGAGTGTTGAAGGTACAGAGTTTCAGACTGCAAGATGAAAAAGTTCTGGAGATCCACTGCACAACAGAGTTATACAGTTAACACTACTACTGCACACTTAAAAATGGTTAAGTCTACTTTGAGATTCAATGTATGAAAAAAAAAGTTAAGATGGTAAATTTATGTTATGTTTTTTTTTTTTTAATCACAATTAAACAAGAAATGACATGATCTACTCAAAGACATGGCAATGCAGCAGCGGATCCAGGGTTCAGAAACTCCCCTGCACGACCCCCTACCTTTTTTCACTTGGTTGTGCTACCTTGAGTTGGTTTTCTGTTGCTTGCAAAAACAGAGTCGCTGCTATACTAATACCAGGGTTTTAGAGCTTCAGACTGATCACCCCTAAATCTTGGGAGTACATGGGGAGTAACAATGTCTCTTCTAAATCAACTCTGCAGGTAGAGCAGGGGCCGTTGGATAGCTAAAGATAAACACCTCCAAACCCACAAATCCTTCTTCAATCAATTCTCTCTCCTGGTGGGGGATCTAGACCCCAGCACCTGCTTGCTCTAGAAAGTTGCTCTAGACCCTGCCCCCTGGGTGGAAGTGGCTGTAGTATGAGTGTATGTCCCCTTCCAGAGATGAGGACATGGAAGCTCAGAGAGGTCATGGTATTTGGCCTCTGTCACAGGCTTGCCTGGGGCTACCCGATCCCAAAGCCACTATACCTTTACTCATTGTAACATATCAATTAATTCAGCTAGTAACAAAACATCTTGCTGTAGCCAATACTGGGCTTGCTGCATAAAATGACATAGTTCAGAGAATAAATTGTATTGCTTTTCACCAGGGGAAGTTTTTTTTGAGAAACTGTGGGCTCAGAAAGCGTGACTATAAATTAACTGAGAAACCAAACTCTTTTCTTAATAACTCAATGGATCTTTTTTTAATCTATTGCAACATATTCAACTCAATGCTAGCCTGTTAATTTAGCAACACAATAACTAAGTAGAGAGAGCAGTTACTGTCTCTCCCATAAAACCATTTGTTTCAAATGGGAACACTAAGACGTCACAGGATTCAATTTCCATTTAACATGTTTTTGAAAATGCTAGTAGGAGAACTCAAAACAATAGCATCTGAACACTCTGTGAAAGTGAGAGCCACACCCACACGCACACTTTCAATTACAAAATGTCACATTGGAATATATAGCATGCTGGCATTTTGGTGGCCTGCAGTTGAAATTGACCTTATAACAAAACCTAATCTCTGCCAGACATTAATTCCTAACACAATGTATTTCACACCATCAGAAGAGCTAATGTCATTCATCCACTTTCCTCCCGCCCACTAATTCAATCAACAAAAGTTAATTAGTTGCCTGCTACAGGCAAGGCACCGTGCGTTTAGGTGTCATTTCTCTTAGGAGAGACTAAGTCGGATGAAACACTGCTCTCTTACTGAAGCTCACAATTTAGTGGCAGAGGACGATGAAGGGGAAAATGGGAGAATTTAATGCGCCTGGGCTGCTTTACCCATCATGTGAATAATTTCTTAAAATAACCCAGCAAGATATGTATACAAAAATATTCCAGCTCAGTGTCAACAACGAATTCCGTGCAAGACAGAATGGAACCGTGACGTTCCGCCTGTGACTGAAGTCCTGGAACGAGATAGCGGTGGTGGCCGCACAACACTGCGCAATGTGCTAAAAGGCACCGGATAGGTCACTTAAAATGGTTGATGGTTACTTCTGTTATGTTTACCTCCATAATAATAAATTAAGAGAGTTACGGAGTTGGCTCTCCTCTTTTGAAGGTGAGGGGAGAGAGGAGCAGAGCAGGGCGTGTGGAGTCGGGGCACACTCGGATAGTGCAGACCCATGTTTGAATCCCTGCGGGCTGCGGGCTCTGTGGCCCCCACGGCTGTCGCTCAACCTCTATCTGCTCCATCTGTTCACTCGGTAGATAATATGGAGCCCCTGTCATGCACCAGGCACTAAGTGTAAATGCTGGGGATGAATGGAGAATAAAACCGCCATTAGTATCTTCTCCTTACAGGGCTAACATTCCAGTAGCCCGCCTCAGTTTCCTCAATGCAACATGGGGGATAGTAATGGTTCCTGCCTCAGCTTCTTACAAGGATTAAATGAGATAAGTTGCATAACGCACCTGGCCCAGAGTAAGGATTGATGCTGCTGCTGCGGTTGTTGCTTAATGTTACAGAAAGACAGGTCTAGAGCTCACCTGTTCCACTGACTTTCTCATGCTGCCTCTCTGCCAGGAGCAGCACCCAGACCCAGCGTAAGGGAAAAGCGAATCTTCTGGGTTCTGTGTGGTGTTGGAATAAATATCACATTACATGTGCTAGTGCTAATCAATGTGGATTACCTGTAACAGTGAGCTCAAAGATCTTATGGCCTCTTTCAGGCTCTGCGGGGAAAGAGTTGTGATGGACTAGTGGTGTCCGTCACGTGCACCATAAGAGATAGTAAAGGTATGTGCATTGTGCGTGGAGCTGGCATCTGACCTTGGGCTTTAGAAAGCAAAGCTCGGGTCCTGGTGTATCCCTGCCTCTGAGAATCATCTTAGAGGTTCATAGCTTACTGAGAATCTGCCACAACACTGTTTCCAATGCCTGCTCCCACTCAAAAGTGGCATTAGTGTCTTCCTGTTATTTCCACCAGGCTTTTAGAAATCTGCTGGACCTTGGATTTGCACATCTGCAAAAGTAGGGGGTGGCATGAAGGATCCCAGGTTTCAGGAGTACTTTTGGGGCACTGGCATGACCTGGGGGTTGTGACCAATGAGATTGGGGAAATCCCCAAATCTGAAAGGACAGCGGGCTGGTTGCTGGCACTCCTGGTCTCTGAAATCCCAAATCTTCCCCTTTGCATTTTCCAAACCTCAGTTCTTAACACAGCATGCTACTTGTCCTTTGAGTTCTATTTTTTTTTTTTTTTTTTTTTGAGACAGAGTCTAGCTCTGTTGCCCCAGCTAGAGTATCATGGCATTAGCTTAGCTCACAGCAATCTCAAACTCCTGGGCTCAAGCAATCTCCTGCCTCAGCCTCCCGAATAGCTGGGGCTACAGGCAGGTGCCACCACAGCCAGCTAATTTTTCTATTTTAGTAGAGACGGGGGGGGGGGGGGGGCTTGCTCAGGTTGGTCTCAACTCCTGAGCTCAAGTAATCCTCTTGCCTTGGCCTCCCAGAATGCTAGGATTACAGGTGTGAGCCACCATGCCTGGCCTGTCCTTTGAGTTCTTAATTTT